GTTTTTAAACCCAAACAGGGCGTTCCTGGCTCAACATGAAGCAATCACATTACACGCATTCAATGACAAATTCGGCATATTCAATCCAAAACGAAGGCAGTCAAAGGTTAAGCTCTGTAGACAAGATAATAGAGAGCGCACCAACTATACGCGCTACCTTTTCAATGAGAACATCGTCAACATACATACTTACATAGGAGCAACGCAAGACGTTCGGCACTGATCGGTAGATTTATTCAAGAAAAATCTAGCTACTGGTTTAATAACTACGGTACCAATCGTTGAGATAGTCGGTTGTCGGTTTGGCAGCACTCGTTCCGGCAGAATTCTCATCCATAAGGTACGTGCGGAAAGCTGTGGCAAGTTTGGTGTCATGCCCTATTGCCTGACAGCCAATCAAACAAGTCATTATACTTGAGCTGCGCCTCTTTCAGTGCCTTGAAAAGACCAAAGTGGACTTCTTGACTTTCGGTTTCCAGAGCTTTACCAATGGACTCCGCAAATCTCTCGATGCCTCTTGATTCGAGGTCCTCGCGCTGACGTAGAAATCGATGCACCTCTACCGCTGACGAGCGACCCAACGACGGAAGAGGGAAAGCGTCCGTGCTCACTCGGGGACCAACAGGCAAAGTTGATTGAACGGGGTTGCAGACAGCTGTCAAGAACAGGATCGAGTAGTCAAGACGCATCTTGCCGGGACGGAGCAAATTGACGAATGACACTTCGGGCAACTTGTCAATGCCAGAAGGTCATTCGAAACGAATGGCTCAGAATCGATTGGGGTTGTACGTCGGTTATTAACCGGTTAAGTTGTGTGATTTACACCACACAGAATATCCCTCGATCTTACTTTCGGTAAGTCGTTATCCGTTTGTGGGGGCTGACGCGTGTCAGCCACCGGATTAAAAATCCTCTACTAGTGCTAAATTAGGACCAAGAGGTCTAGATGAGGGATGCTCTAGGTAGCGTGTTTATTTGATACAAAACAAAATAAAGTTCACTTTTTCTCATTATCTTGTAGCGCTCCCTGCCTTCCTACGACTTGCGCTCCAAATACTAAGAGTAAGAAGCCTTTACAAGGCATACGAGTTTAGGCTCTCGATGCCGTGCGATTCTCTGAATTACTCGTCCCTTGAACAAGGACTACACAGCTATACGACATTGTGTGACTCTTGAGTCGAACGCAGTTCCTTAAACGATATACACTTTTAGTCGTTAACTCAGTTCCGTAGAACTGAGAGGCTGTTTATGCCTTGAAGTCTTCCTCTAGCACAGGAGCTAAGGTAGCTCCGCTACACAGGGGTAGCGATATCTCTGCAATTGGTAGAAGCACGCTGGATTGATATGCACCAAGTGCGACACCATTCTGTTGTGCTGGCCATGACCATTCTACGTAAACATAAGGATCGGTATTGACTCCATGATGTTTAGAGGTCCGTGTGCCAGCGTTTCAACCACCATGAGCACTGCATCGTATAGAGACTTACAATGAAAAAATCCTATGTTGATAACTGAAGTCATCAACAGTCAATCCAGACCTTTTTGCCACCCGCTGAGATACAACTATACCACATCGGAGTCTTTCACTGCGGCAATGCGATAAGGTTACTCGCCTTCGTTGTGAGGACCAGACGGGTACGAAGCCCTCGCTTTTGCTTGGAAACATAAGGTTTCGTCCCCGCCTCAGGCTGTCTTACGCTTCGATGGCCAATCGCGTCGACGCACAGTACAACCTACGGCACCTTTGCCTCGCCTTCGCTATGGTTTCTACCACTTTTCTGCTGCTTCGGTAGGCATGTCAGGCACCCATTAGACATCCGGCTCCCAAACACGACAGCTCCGCCTGCCTGTCGTATTTGGGAGCCGGATATCAATGGATACCTTCGGCACGTGTGAGTCAAGGCTGCCGCCTCTTAGGCTAGTGAATCTGTATAAAAAATCATAGGGCCAATTCGTGCCACCTATCGGGTGCAAATGGCTGTGATGACTAAAATGGCAAACACATTCTGAACGTCTTTCTTGCTGACAGGGACAGAAAGAGCACAGACGGTTGACAACTACATCGAATTGCACGCTCGCAAGGAGGCGGCGAGTCTTCATCTTCGGCTGGTTTAGACGCCGTAACCTCACTGTGATCGAATGTCCCTTGTCATTTGTAGCGCGTACTTGAGCAGTAGAAGACAACTTTCTGAACTTTCGGTTAAGACGGCTCTACAGCGAAAGGTACACTGGTGACGTTGAATCTGTTGCTGCAGTAGTTGCGAAGTAGTCCTGCATCGAAGAGTTGAACCTCCGACCAATTATGACAGCCGGTACTGATGCTAGCCAAGGCTTTATAGGATCTGACGCAGTGCAACCACTGCTCTGCATGCTGCCGAAAGTTCTGCACGAACAGTAGCACGAAAATGTAGACGGTGGTGTCGGTATCATCAATAGCAAGCGATAGGTCTGCAAATGCGTGTGAGTGCAAGTTTTCGCCTTCACGCTTGGCCAAGTAGCACATAATCATTTGCTCATGGTACTGCAAGCCTTCCTACGTGTTCGACCACGTCGACACGTAGTCTACTACAATAGGTGCAATGATGATACTGCATCGTGCTCGACTGACAATGCACTTGGTCGTACTCGACTGACTCACACGCGGCTGGCGCTGCATACGGCTACATAGTGTTAGTCAAGTGCTGTAGAAATTGGTCGTATTGCACACTGGAAATGATGGCAGCAGTAAAAGTAAAATGTACCGAGCGTTGGCTTTGTTTCTCGACCGATCAACAGGCGTGTTCAACGGCACTACGACTTGAGCTAGAAAAACACGCTTTGAGCGGTTGCAAGGAGGCAATAGGAGGGGGAGAAATGGCTTCACGTAGGGCATGCAGCAGTCGTTGGCTTCAACGGATTGTTACTGCTGCTTGTGGATGGATGGAGGAGGAGGAGGAAAAAGAGCACAGGGCGAAGCTGACAGGCGCGTCACCTCTACGGGCAATGGAGCGTGGCTACGGGGGCAACAAAGTCTGGGAACGAGACACTTGAGCACTGACTGCTACTGCTGGTACTGACTGCTACCGCTGCTAAGAGTATGACGGAGTTGATGCAGGGAAAGAAGTTTGAGGACGCAGAGGTGAGGAGCGAAAGTCGATAGAAAGCGATGACGGATTCTGACGCGGGCATTGTTGACGGTGCTGCAGAACTCGATATGCTATCACGCGGCGCTATAAGCGCCCACTGATTCCTCATGCCACCCACCCATCAACTCCAACAGCTCCACGATGAAAATGACGATGACGAGGCGATGGGTGCTCACGTGCTAAGCGGCTTTCGCTTCTTTCTTGCAATGCCAGTAGCACGCTGACCTCCAGCGGTTGCTCCGGTGCGTGTGGTGCTCACAGTGATTAATGAAGTCTCGTATGCTAATGAGTCTAGCGCGAAGACGCGAGGCGAACCACGTATGCTGCTGGTAGGCGACCCAGACACAGGCGCAGTTTCTCCGTTCCACTGCTGAACTAAGTCTCTGCTCGGCTCTCACGACATACATCCACACGGCGAGTGCTGATCGGACTTGTAAGCTGTGCAGGACGGCGGTGACTGGATGCTGGTGCTTTGATGCTGGCAGGTCGTGGCATGTGCTGCATCGACGAGTGGAGCAGTATCCGTAGTACCGAACTGCACGTCTACTCATAGAGCCCTGAAGCAGCAAATACGGAGTGCGGCGAAGGCGGGTCCAGTATGCCAAGCTCAGCGCACGAGCTACAGCATTCGCCGTGACGAACGCCAGAGGCCGGTACGGCAAAACGAGAGACGCATGTGTGAACGCCGGTCTTGCTAGTCCATTATTTGGTCGCTTCAATCGTATCGACGTGCCGGTGGTGGATGGGATGAGATTGCGCTGGGACCGAGTTGTCTGCTTTTCTCGTATCCTTAAGTTGGCCGTTGGCGACAGCACTACTTTGCTCGAGATACCAAAGGCAAACGAGAGCGAGACAGCAGTTGATTTGAGGTGAAAGCGAGAAGCATTACGACCGTCCGAATCGCAGAAGTTGTCGTTGTGGAGACCCCGACCACTGCAGGCGTAAGTATTTGCCATGTCGAAGACGAGTACCAGTCTCAACTGAGCCGTCCCGCGATGACGATACTGCAGCGCTATTACCAACAACAGCGGGTATCCGATAGTCGCAGTGCTGCTCGAACCACGATCCGACTTTTGGGATGCCCAACAAGACTGACACATGTCTGTGCACGACTGATGCGCCACTGAGAAGTGGCTGTGCTGGGCGCAGGGGCTGCTATCTGTATCACGGAAGTGGTCAAATCCACGGACAGTTTTTAAGACCTGATGGAAGGGCACAGCGTCGGTCTTGCACTCTGACTTCTCGGACGATTCACTGGAAGCGTATATGCTACAACGTAAACTGGTTTTCGACTACCTTGAACTTCATGAATTCAGCACGGCATACGGTACCCATTGTCACCCAACTGCGTCCTAGCCACCAGCCTTGTGAAGCAGTCTTTGCGGCAGTAGAGGCCTCATCCCGTGTCACTGATGGCTTTTCCGTCTACAACGTATATGAACTGAGTGACGACGTCGAGAGCGGAGATGGTGTTAACAGTCTGAATCTTCTGGAGCAAAATAGCGATCGGCGTTCAGATCGAAGAGGCTATTGAAGTCAACAGCAAAGTGGAGATGCTCACGTATAGCGCAAACAGCGGTGCGATTGTCCTGTATTTCGTTAAGTTCCACGGCATCAACGACGACAATCGCTTGTTCCGACGTCAACGTCTCAGTGCCAAGTCGATCACGATGACAAGTTGAGTACCATGGACGATTATCACCATTTCGGCGACGTACATTGTCCAGTGCGCCTTCACCGACGCGTTTTGGCTTCGATGGATGGAGTCAACAAGCCAAGACACGTCAATCGATCATCGACTAGTGGAAAAAGTGAAGCTACCAAAGCGTGTAATCCACCAGACCATACATGCCATGTTCAGCTTTGCTCCGAATGCTACACGTGCATCAGTGAGTAGAGCAAGTGCACGTCTTTTCGACTCTCAAAGTCCAGAATGACATCCACGATGTCGTCGTCGAGGCTGTTCAGGCCGTCAATCTACAACGTGACAACAACGACGCCATAGTCAACTAATCACCCGCACACCAGCTTTTTTATTTGGCAGCTGAAGACACCAACGACGTACCGCTTGGCAGAGCTCCAGTGCCAATTGGCCACCCGTTTTCGCGTGCTCGGGTGTGTCTTTTGTGTCGAGACAGAGCACGTGGAGCGGTCGCCAGACTGTCGTGGGCTCGTTCCCGGGTCCGCCAGGACCTCCGGCAGCTCCTCGAAGCTGCAGGTCTTCCAGCACGATCTCAAAGATGCGGTCGTCAAAGCAGAGCACCACGTCCAGTGCCTGCAGTTCCTTCACACTGAGGTCCTGCCACCGCTGGGGACATGTCTTGGTCAGCATGTCGCGCTCGAGCATCGCGAGCACTCCGTTTCGCGTGAACCTGCAGTAGGGACACATGTATGGCTCCAATCAGTGTGCACCGACCATAGCAACGACGCGCTTCGAATCCCCCACACAAGTGCAAGTGCAAGCACCAATGTAGCCATGTGCTGACTGCATCGATCGACACGCACGCCACACGCACAGCTCGCCGTTCTCGCGCTGGAGCTCTCTGTGCATCGTCGCGTAGGGCGTCGAGAACTCGTAGATGCGCGGGTCGTCGCGCGACGGGCCGGGGAAGCGCACGCGATTGCCGGCGCCGAAGGAGCACACGCGGAGGCCCGCGGCGTGCAAGTGGTCGTGCGCTTCGGTGCTGCGGTTCACGTTGTTGGCGCACAGCATCGCGAACATGGGACGCGCAGGTGGCGTGAGGTCGGCCGGTCGATGCATTGATTGAGCTTTTCGAGCTTAGGACGAGCGTGGGGGTGAATTGAACGGCTGAGGGTGAGATTGAATAAAACTTATTTCGTTGTATTACGCCTAAGAGGTGGTATCGGTATGCGGGAGAGGATATGTTGCAAATTTCGTGATAGCTGCCAGGACATGCGTGTGTGTCGGATGTACCCGCGATTCCATAAAGAGTGGGGGATTTGGGGAGTAAAAGCAGTTCATAACCAACTGATCGAACAGTGCGGTAAGCGATTAGGTTCCTACGTATTGTATGCGCGCATGACAGTCCAAGGCAGATATCGACCAAGACAAGGACCACGCAGTGCTTCCTCCATATATGTAAACTTGCGACTTTCGGTGGCGTGATGGTGGCTGCACCTTCTCGATGCCGTAGAATGAAGCAACAGTAATATCGATCGTGTCAGTCAAACGGCTCACCGCTCGGGAACAAATGCACACGAAGTCGGTGGCTACTATGCAACGACTTGACATGATGGCCTTACAGTTCAGTTGCTGCTCGATCAAGAGATAGAAGCAAGCTGTCGCTAGGATCTATAAGATGCGGCTGTACCCCTGCATGCAATTCTTGATACGTGACATCTCGCAGCGACCATGGCGAATTGACCACGTTTTCCCATTCGTGTTTCGCCAATGGTGACAGTTGACTGCATGCTCGCTTGCGTATATAATTAGGCAACACGGTAGCAAGACCAGGCAGTTGGTCAAGCGCACGATGATGCTTTCCGAATGGAGATCGCGACAGGGTTTACAAATTCATACATGCAAAAGGAGCGCAAGAAACGAATTCGATAGGTCTCAGCTCAAAAATGCGTATCGTACGCTAGCCGTCCGGTTTTCTACGCAGTACCTACGATACGTTGCAAACAGTGCCATGCAAGGAATCCAATGCTTGTGTACAAAAGATGCTGCTGGTAGCAACATGTCCGTAACTACTCAATTGCTTTGCGCAGAAGTACGAGAGGGTTATAAAGAAGGCAACGTAGTAAAGTTTGAAGGAGGTCAGAACCTCCATGAGGGTATGTGTGTCATTAGTACTGACAAGAGCTCCAAGATTTCAAGGTCGGCGGCGAGCGTGTTCGAATGTGTCGATAGCTGACTTGATACCAATAAGCCCACGTATGGTGTCAAGGGTTTGCCACGTTGGGCACAAGGACTGATCCTTCTTATCTGTCCGTAGCGTCGAATGGGGCAAACGCACCCGTTTGCAACTGCACTTGTACCTGTTTCGATCACACAAGAACCAACGCTGCCCCTAGACTAACACTGCTAACCCCTTGCGATGTGGCAGAAGACTTCACGATGACAAAACCACATACGAGCAATCACATGTGACGACAGCCTCGAGGTCGTTGCAACATCAATTTGCATGCAAAGTGCCTCAAGCACGTGTGAACAACAAAGCACTTTGTGTGCGCTAGCCCTCACACTGTCTACCAAAAAAAGACACCTGCCATGCTGCTGCTGCTACTTGCGTGCTCCTCCCATCGGCTTACACGTACTCGAGCAGCAAATCATTCATCAGGAACGATACAGTCCAGTAAAATCTGCCTGACTGCGTCGCACCGCACGCAGTCGCGTGCATCAAATAATATGATATGAAATAGAAAGCCCGTTAAGTGATACAGAAAGTAGACAGCTCTTTTCGTGATACAGAAAATAGACTGCAAGTTGTGACTACCCAAGCGCTACTTTTGTGAAACTTCGTCGCACACACACACATGGCGGACACGCACGACGACTCGTGCGACGCTATGGCCACAGCCGACAACGCGCTCGGGGCGGGCAATGAATACGGTCTACAAGACTTAGCGCGTCTGCCGCTGCTCGAGCAAGTGCACCGTCTGTTCCACGCTATCCAGCAGCGCTACCCCTACAAAGAGGTGAGTGGCTGCCGCTATCCTCATGCACCAGTCCCATTTCTCTATTTTTCCGAAACTTACTACCGTACATACGTACGTCTATATGGACTCATTACCACTTGCTGTCTGTATGTGTCTCTGCAGACGAACGCATGGAAGACGCTGCCACTGGACCAAAAGAAGAAGATGCTCAATTACATCCGTGACAAGCGCCAACGTACGCAGCGTCCGGATGCCGACTCGGAGCTCGTGGCAGCAGAGACACACAACGCACTGGATGCAGCACATGACGCACCAAAGGTGGGCCCGACTATGGCTGTCAAGTCGGATCTCTACCTCAAGATGATCCAGCAGCGGAGCTTCCGCTCGAGAGGTCCAGGGACGACTGGAGCGGACGAAGGGGCGCGGCCGAGCCACCCAAACAGCGCGTACGTTGCGCCCGCACAAGTGCCTCACTACGAACACGCTACGACCAAGTTCAAGCCGAGGTGGCAACTTGCCGAGGGCGAGTTCTTTGACAAACCGTGCGCGTGTGGCGCCAAGCACGATATTACATTGAAAGGAAGGCAAGTGGCGTTGATGCTGCACACGATTGGCTGCATGATGAGCACGTTTGGTGACAGTACGCACACGTGTTTGTCTGCTGTGGAGGAAGTGCAGGCAGTTGGTGAGACAGCTGTGTAGTAGTGGACTGCACTGTGCTGGTTGTTGCATCTGGAGCTGATGTGCTATGCAGTTGGTGATCATTTGAAAAAGGTGCTAAGCTCGGTGGATCCAAAGGTGCTGGGGGCTGCGTCGTGTCTGAGGGTACGCTAAACTTGGGTCTAGCAGTTTTGTGTGCTGCTAGTATCTTACGGCCGATGTGGCGTATGCTTGTGACAGACACTGGTCGAACTCTTTGACCAAGAGGCCGTCTACTACGGACGTTGGCGAGAATTTCGTGGTGAAGCGAAACACGAAGAAAACGAGCTGGAGGACGTGGAGGAAGAAGAGCTGGCGGACGAGCTGGATCTTTTTGCTGTATCCGAGACTGATGACGTGTTCAACGACGCGTTTTTGGTACGGTATCGTTATGTGCCCATGTTTGGAGACATGTTCGCTGGGTTGACGAGTTCTTTGGATGCTGTACGTATGCAGGAACGAATACGCTTTGCTGACGAGCGCACAAAGACGATGGACTGGTCAAACTACGATGTGTTTGCAAGAGGTCGCAAGCTTAATTTCATGAACAACAAGTCTCAGCAGTTTCGTCAATGGTTGGGTCTTGAAACGATCTCGCGCGCTTCGCTTGAGTTTCTCAATTTCGTCGCTTACCACAAGTACGTTTGGTCCCACTTTTCACCGCCACCACCGCGGCCTCGACATCTAGCTTACGTAGTGCTTTCCATGCAGCATTGGCCGATTGGTGGAGTTGGCAATCAAACACCGGACAGGTGGAAAGCTGGAACAGCTGGAGACGCCATTGTTGAAAGACGATATTGAGTACGTGCTGAACGTAGCTCATGTTTTTTTGTGATGCAAAGCACGAGCTAACATCACTCTTCCGTTTGCACTTGGCAGGTCCGTAGCGCTTCAGTTTCTCCCAGCGCAGCGTTTGCCCTACTTGATCGATCGAACGCGCTCGTCGACTGCGAAAACGCGACGAGTTGGCGCGAGTGCTGCCAACAGCAAGCGCGTACGGGTAGAACCGACAGCAAGAACACGTTCCCGAGCAAAGTCGTCTTCATCGGTACCGAGCACAGCCACCGAAATAACAGGACCAAGCTCGTCGACCGTCGCACCTCCAGTCGTCAGTGCTAGACCTTCGAGACTCAAAAGGCTGCGATGACTCATTTGTTCGTGCTGGAGTAACGACGAAGCTACGGCACCGCGTTGCAGACCCCAATTGTTGTAAGTAGGTGCATGCCGATCTGGCCATACCACTTTTGGTATAATCCACTCACTCTCGCTTGCTATCCAGTGTCTACATGCATCAGATCGACGCCAACAATTGCCGCATGTTTGGACTTCCGAGTGGGTATTGTCGGATTGCATTGTACTGGTCAACTCTTGTTTATGTACGACACGTCTGGCAGAAGTGCACGTACGTCTCTGATGTTGCATTGCACAATAGTTCTACCATTCGAAGTGCTACTAGTCGTGGGATGCAGCTTCATGTGTTTGCTATAGCGACAATGTCAATGGGTTCTTACGAACCAAAGTGAAGTGCTGACTGTGATAGCACCAGATGTTGTGTCGATGCAGTCATGGCAACTTTTGGACCTGACTTCGCTCGTTCTGAAGCAGCACCAACATGCGAATACGGACGGTCGATACAGGATTGTGCGCCATAAGATACTGTATAGTGCATGTGGAGCCCTATCACGCATGTCTGAAGTTATCGGAGACCTTTTTTTAGTCCTGAGCACATGTGCGCTCTTCAGACCAGCTGGGCACTCGAGCGCAAAGCATCCATTCTACGAATAGTCCACGCCCCTCTCGACAATGATACCGTTCCAAATGTAGCTAAAATCCCTCACTTCTGTGCCAAACCTCAGTCAAGTCAACACACACCTGCAAAAGCGCTGTCAACCGATGGAAACACAACACAACGCGCCCCTTAAAAACAGCGGCACGTCGTCGCTGTTAGAAACGCCTTCTCGCCAGGTAGGCGCCTACAAGATTCAAGCGCAAATCCGCACGATCGCCACAAGCCCAAAATAGCGTCGAGCGCTCGCTCGCGTCCGAACGTTTGTGTCCCGCTTTGCATCCGAGTCAGATAGAAAGTAACGGCACGTACCCACCCACCTGCACACCCCGCGGCGCTGCGCCACTTGTCCATTAATGACGTCGGGCGCGCCCCCCGGACGCGCGTTCTACGACGGCGTCTTCCGCTCGCCCCTCTTCACAGAGCGCCACCGCGTGTGCTGCAACGTGGGGTACCGCCCGCGCCGCGAGTCGACCGACGCCGTCGACGTCCGATCCACTGCGTTCCAGACCCGTTATCCGCACGACGTGTACCAGTTGCAGCTCTACGACCGCTTACTGGACGTCGATGGACAGCACGCGACACGGCGACACGAAGCGCTCACGATTCTCGACGTCGGGTGCGGCGCTGGCGGCGGTCTCTGTGAGCTGCAGCTGCTGTACCCACAGGCGCACGTCGTGGGCCTCGACGTGTCGAGTGCAGCACTGGAACGCTGTAAAGAAGTGTGGAGTGCCTTTCGTGAGCAGCAGCAGCACAACAGCAGCAGCAGAAGAGGCAGCAGAAGCTGCAGCTGTATCAGCAGTCGTGCGAGAGCATGGTCGGCCTACTGCCGCAGTCGGTGGACATTGCGGTGGCGGTGCAGAGTCTCCAGGAAGTGCAGCATCTCGACCGGGCCGTGCGTGAACTGGCGCGAGTTGTGAAGCCTCGAGGGCTGTTGTTCGTTGCCGACTTTATCCCGCTCGACACGGCTGCTGATCACGTGGAGCGCTCGCTGCTGTCGCAGCACAAGACGGGGGGCTTTCATCTTGTGCAGGAGCAGCTGGTGTCGTACGAGGCAGCAATGGGCGCGCAACACAGCTCGGACAGCACGCGGGAGCTGATCCATCGGTTGACGCCTTCGGACGTGCACGCGGAGCTCGAGACTTTCTTCTTTGTCGAACGCTCGCCGCTGTATGAGCTGCTACGTCGGGACCAACTGGGCTACCGCTTGTTGTGCCTACGCAGGACAGACGAGCGGCGCACCGATGAAGAAGAAGACGTTTGCCACGTGACGGAATGGGATCGGGACAGCGACGGCGACAGCGCTGGAGACACTTCAGATGAAGAGATCCACGACGAGGATCTGGCCAGTTACTACCCGTACCAGGAGCTCTTTCCCCAGTTGGACATGCTGAGCGACAACTACAGCGTCATTGTGGAGGAGATGCAGGCTGTGCAGCAGGTGGCAACGTGGCCGTTCTGGCCAGAGAAGCACTACACGAACGGCGACAGCGAGTGGCGCGTATTTCCGTTTTGCTATACCTTCCCGGCGTGTGACGCCTCCAAGACAACATGGGTACCCGCTACGTGCTCGATGTGTCCACGCACGGCAGCCATTCTCAAGAGCCTGCCTGGCGTTCGCACCGCACTGTTCTCAAAGCTCGGTCCCAACACGACGCTAAATGCGCACCGAGGGTGGGCGGACCTGGCAAACCACGTGCTGCGCGTGCACTTTCCGCTCATCGTGCCCACGCTGTCGAACGGGGAGCCGTGCTGCGCCATGGTAGTAGGTGGCGAGACCACCTACCATAACGAGCGCGAATTCATAGTGTTTGATGACAGCAAGTTGCACTATGCGTTCAACCACCATCCGGACGAGACGCGACTCGTGCTCATTGTTGATTTCTACCGTCCAGACCATCTCCCGAGAGGCCGTGCACGTGGCGGCCACTCGGACGAGCTGGACGAGTTTATCGAGTCGTTTGGCAATCAGACGTTGCTCGATGGCAACGGAGAAAGCTGATGACAAGAGGGGTAGAGCCGACGAGCGATGGGGGAGGCGTGACGCGAACCTCGCATGATTGAAAGGCAGAGCTGCGTCTCGAGCGTCAGTGCTTGTCACTCGTCACCCTTGCTTAATCTTAATGTTAAATAGACCTAGCATCGACCGATCAGTCACCACACACACACCACACCACCAGCAACAACAGCAGCAGCAGCAGCATGCCACAACACGAATGAGCCACGCTTGACAACGCCTGGTCCGCTCATTACACCACCCATACACGCACAAGCAGCACGTACATCCAGGAAGCGCACGGACGTCCGGGACATCTGCATTGACGATCGCAGTGAGTCCGAGGTTGGCAAGAGCGCCACGGATCAAGCCGCACGGAAAGACGAGGAAGAGCAGCGCCATCTCCCGCGTCTCCTGCTCGGTCGCAGCCGAGATGCTCTCGAGCCAGCGGAAACGAAAGTCCTGCACGACGAAAATGCCGCGATGATTGGTCTGGAGCTTGTCGATCTGCTTGGCGAACATTGCGATCCAAAAGTCTTTGCACACAAACTTGATCACGTCCAGCGGCTCGAGCATGCGCGGCCGTTCCCTCGCTATTCTCTCGGCGAAGCGACACCCGACGTCATATCCCATGGCCTCAAGGCGGAGTATAACCGCCTCACGATGCGCAGCCGCTTCTTCTTCTGCCGTCGACACTCCCGCAGTCGCTCCTTCGTCCGAGCGGTGTACCTGCCACGGATAGCGCTCGAGCTGCCGAAACAAAGCGAAACAACAGACAGAAACAACGTCAAGTTAGTGTGTGCTCGTGTACTGATCACCTACGCCCATCAACGTGCTTCGTCACGCACCATCGAGCGCACAATCTCGCCGTAGAGCTGCTGGAAGCAGCCGTCGGCCACCTCAATCATTGCTTGACGATGGCGGCGGGCTGTGTGTCTGTGGTGTGTCAGCACGTCACTTGCGGCGGAGTTCGTGTGCGCCACACGAGATGGTCCGCAAAACAGGCGCTGTCGATGTCACTCAAGTGCACCACACCGAGTGACCCCACTCCGTGTCAAAAAAGCGGACACGAGGGACCGAGCGAGCGCGGGAGTATGAGCGCCAAGAGCTCCGACGTTGTGGACAGTATGATCGACGACAGTCTGCTGGGTATCCTCATCATCCTGCTCGTGCTCATGCTCAGTACAGGCTACGTGTACTTGCAGCAGCTGCGACAGGGGGGCGCCCAGCAGCAGCAGCCCCCGCAGCGTCGTGGTCCGGCTACCAACGCATCTCTGTCCAGTCGAACAGTATCCACTGCTGCTGCGCTAGCGTCGTCCTCAGAGCGCGCTCTGTTGTCCAGTACCGACTTTACTGACCGACAGCGGCGTCTGCACTCGCAGTTGCCCATGCGCAACGGGACGCGCATAGTCACGATCAGCGCTGCTGCGCTTTTCCAGACTGACACGTCGCACGCTCTGAGCTGGACGAGTGATGACGTGCCAGCACTGCTGTCGGATCTCTTGCACGTTGCGGACGTGTACGTTCTATGCAAAGCCAACGACGAGAAGGATACGCAGCATATGCTGCGCGTTCGCGAGTGGTTGACGACGCACGCGGCCTTGACGAACGCCGATACGGCGGGAAGAGGCCTTCAGGCGCACAAGATTCTCTTTTGTACCACGTCGACTGGCAAAATTGCGTTTGTGCGACAGATTGAACCTCATGTTCATGTGGACGGTGCGGTGATGGGCGTGCACGATGTGTGTGGGAGAACGATGAGGTTGCGATGGGTAATTGACTTGTTGTTGTTGTTGCTGCTGCTGTTGTGGTAGTTGACGCTGCGGTCGTTCGTGACTTGGAGAAACACGTGCCACGTATTGTGCACATTTCGACCTCGTCTGAGGATGTAGTCGTGCCTTTGATTCCGAACGTGATCCACGTCAGTGACAGCTTTGCAGGGTATTTCTCGCTCATTAGTTCACTCGAACGACCGAAATAGGCTGTCAGCCCATCCATGTTGGTCCAGAAGGAGTTTGGGAGAACGCAGTTTCTTGTGCTCGTACGTATGGCAAACACTTTGCAGCGTTTACTGGACGATGAACAACGCGTGCGTGTACGCATCTGTGGAAAACGTGTCTGATCGTGGGAGGATCAGAAGTGGAGCAGTTGTCTCGCTTGTAAACGACGGGCTTCAACATTCTTCGGCTGGGTAGATGGCACGCGTGCAAGTATGTGGAAGGTATGGGCGACGATCGCATGCTTGCCGCTGGCGATGCAGCAGGAAACGTGATGGCGATGAAGTAGTTGACACACAATTGCGTAAAGGGTATGAATTGACTCCATCTGGCGCAGTGAGGACTACTCTGTATGTTCTTATCGTCTCTTCGACCAACTGATCGCAAGTGTGTGTACGTGACGCGCGCGGCGTCGATGGAGCATTCCTGGAGGTTGCGAAGGTACAACCAGTGAACAAGTCACGAAAACAGTGGTGCAGAGTACTGTCTACTGGATGATCTGTATTGTTGTCGCTTGAACTGCAGTCGAGTGCGCAAACAACGCTAACGGAACTGTGTTCAGAATATGAGGCACATTCACAGCGTCCTTTGGCCTGCATCTGACAAGAGTCAACAATGACCGGAGCGAATATGGAGCAATGCGGCTCCAGCATCGACGACCGAGAGACGAAACGACTCAGACTCGCGGACGGGCAGACTGCGCACACCACCAGCCTCCCTCGAACCTAATTCTCGCCGCCCTTCTTGCTGCCTGTCTTCGACTTGATCGTCTCAATACTAGCAGCAGCAGTGTGTTTGGCCATCTCCAATCCAGAAGATGACGCAGCGCGTGCCTACCCGTCGACAAAATAGACACAACATCCAGTCGCACACGTGAGCCGCGATTTCCACAACAGACACACGGCTTGCGGTACTGCTAAGCACACACACACACACAAGTGCAACAGATTGCGCTATCCCGACCTTTTCCAAAGCACCCGATGCAACAAGAGACGTCCGCTCGTAGGCGTCGCTTGCCAACGTCGACGACTTTTTGAACGCATCCGTTCCCTTCAGCTTCCCGTACTTCTCTTGACTAGCAGTAGCAGCGTTGCTCAGTCCACCAGCAATTGTCTTGCCAGCATTTGACGACTTCGCCGCTTCGAGCGCTGCCCCGGACTTTTCCTTAAACATGGAAAACGTCTGACCAAAGACCCTGTAGCCCAGTGCAAACAACAGCACGACACAAACACCTCGTCAGTCGACATTCACGGTAAAAACAATAACAAATCACAGAGAGACATAGACAGAGAGACAAAGATAGATAGATAAATGGATAGATAGATAGATAGAGAGATAGAGAGATAGATAGATAGATAAATGAATAGATAGAGAGATAGAGAGACATAGATAGAGATATAGAGAGATAGAGAGAGACATAGAGAGAGACGTAGAGAGAGAGATGGACAGAAACAGAGGTAAAGATCGAGCGACAACATCGCGCAGACGTACTTGGAGGCTGTCGTGGCCCCATTCTTGAGCTTGTCCACGGGCAGCACATTGTTCAGCGACGAGCGGTCGGCGCCTTTGGCCATCGACTTTGTGGTCGCATCGCTCTCGTCCGAGTCGCTGTCCTGCATCTGCATTGCCGCGGGCTTCTCCGTCTCTGGACCGTCGAGCGCCTCCTCCTCGTCGTCGTCGTCGTCGCTGTCTCGGCGCTGCGTCGTTTGCTCCAGTTCCTTCGGGTCGCTGTGGTTGAAAATGAGGTTTTCGAGGTCGATGTCGTCGTCCGTCTGCTTTTGCTTGAGGGACACGTCGTCCATTGGCACTTGGCACGGGACCGCTCGCTCGCTCGCGCTCTCTCCCTCTCCCTCTCTATCGCACGCGGCTGAAAGGGCGGATCTGGAACGACGAGAGAGCGGGATCGGAGTAGAACGATCCGATTGGAAGAAATCGAATTCAGAAAAAAGAATCAGATGATGCGGGCGGACGCCATGTCCCGTCTGACCTGATGATGCGCCGTACCGCACCGCAAGGTGACGCACAAAGCTGTCACAAACACGTCACAAAGACGAGGCAAATGGGCGCACTCTGACCGCGAGAGACGCGACTGCTGCTCAGCCGACGGGTGCTGGTGTTTGTCCCACACGTCGTTCGTTGATCGTTTGTAGGTATAGGAGGAGGAGGAGGTCACGTAGCTGCAACGTCAATTTGCTTGACGATTACCTGCTGCACGTGCATCCCTTCTTTTTTCGTTGATGAGTGATTGCTGCGACGGGATGCGCCAAGTGATAACATTGTGCGTTGATCAACCGCATTGACACTTGGCGTATCGCTTGGGATGAGTGATGTGCATGAACAAGGGACCGGTAGTATATGGTGCCTGGCAGCTTCACCCTCCTACTTTCTCAGACCATATCGCTAGAACGCTACGAGCATGCAGCACCGTGCAACATTGCCGCTCACTATCGCGTGCGAACCTCACGCTGTCATGCTTGCAGTCCATAGCCAACTTGGTTGACGACACTGCACGTCATCAATGCGACATTGCTGCGCGACCTTAGTGCAGCTTTTGCGACCACTGTCTTGTGTCAGCAGGCAGAGTAAAACAGCCAGAAGAATGGAGCGAGCAATCTTATAGTAATCATCCAGAACGTGGGATCGACAAAGCGACTGCAAGTGATGGACACGTACGTGACAGCAGGTCACAACGCACAGATTGTGGACGCAGCATCACCTCAACGTCCGAATAGCGCCGTCTCAACTGTGTCAATTTATGTGTCCAGTCATGTGGCGCCAGTCGTCACGCCAAACGGATCCACTCGTGCTGGGGAACGCGCACCACTTCTGCCTTTCCATTCGTCAAAACCCTGTAGCCGTATCACTCCTCTTTTTAGCCAATCCACTCCCCCTAACTTACTCCATTCACCAATCTTCCACGTCATGAGCAAGCGCACGATCGTCGAGTGGTCACCCCACGACGCGTCGCTCTTCGCCGTGGGCGCGGACAATCTGCGCCTATTCGAAGCCACAACTGTTCCGTCTTCTGCCAGTGAATATGCAGATACCACACTCGATCGTGTAACAGCAGCAGCGGTAGCCACAACGCAGCGCAAACGCGCCTTCCGCGTCGTGCGGATCCACGCCAAAGTATCGCAGCTCAAGTGTTTACAGTGGTACCCGTTCGACTCCAAGCCCCTGTTAATCGCCACAGGCACTAGCTCTGGCAAAGTGCTTTTGTGTGACTTTGACGACCCACGGGCTCGAGTCATGCGCGAGTTTGTACCCAAATACAGCCGTCCGTGTCACGCGGTGGCTTGGAACCCGTCCGTGTCCAACCAATTGGCTGCCGGCTTTGAGAAAGTCCGCAGTGACTTTTGTACGCTAGTGTGGGACCTCAACACCTCCAACGCAGTGGGTGGAGCGGCAGGTCCCGCCGCAGCAGCCGCCGCTGGCGCAGCAATGACCAGCTCTAGCAGTTGCAGCAGTGGAAACATGGACGGACTTGTGGACCAAGACGGAGGCTTAGAGCGCCCTATCAGCAGCAGAAAAGGAAGCAGCAATAGTGGAGCTAGTGCTAGTGTGGGCGTGGCCGCCGGGTCAGCTGGCTTTGCAGCGGTAGACTCGAAACCCGTGCATGAACTGGCCAACTCCGAGGCAACAATGGCGTTGTCCTGGGTCCCGCTTCAGCCGACTTGTTTGGCTACCGGAACAGGGTTCAAGTGGCTGCGTGTGTATGATTTGCGGGCGAAGGGGTCGTCTCCGATGAGCGTCGTAGCTCATAACAAGGCTGTGCTGGGTGTCGTGTTTGATCAGCATCGACCACACATGCTTGCGACGTACAGTGATACGCCACAGGAACCGGTGAAAGTGTGGGATATCCGTCAACTAGACTCGTCGTCTGGACCACTGCTTTCGCTGTACCAGACGAGCAAGAATCTGGCACAGGTGTCATGGTGCCCGTCTGAGCCTGGCGTGCTTGTGACGGCGTCGACGGAAGAAAAATGGGTGTCGTTGTGGGATGTTACCAAGCACGAGAGCCGACCTTCGATGCTGAAGAAACCGTTTCGTCGACGCTATACGTCGGAACCGCTGACATCTTTTTCGTGGCAGCATGTGGATTCGCCATCGCAAATGCAGTGCGCGACGGATAGTGGAAGAGGTAGCAATGCACAGAAAGAGCAACTGACGGCGGCAGCGTTTCCAAATAGGTTGCTGACTGCATCAGTAACCGGTGAGCTCGGCGATATCTCTGTGCATGATGCCATGCCGCTATCACTATCGTCTCATGGGGCGGTGACATTCGGATGCGGTAGACTACTCTTTGGCGGTTCTGTCAGCGGACCTGGACTGGGGACTTCGGCTGTAGCGAGATTGACATTGGAGGAAGAGATTAGCTCGGGTCCCCGTGTCGAAGAGGACATTTCGAATGAAATGTACAAGCTTGCAAAGCAAGGCTACTCCATCGGACTTTCCAAGAATCTCAAGCTGTTCAACGAGGCGACCTCACGAGGTCGACAGCTACACCATTTGTGGCTGTGGGTCGACCAAGTTGAGGCATTGCGCCGACTTCGAGCTTCGCGTATAGAGCAATCGCGCGCTGCAAACAACGGCCTTGGAAACAATGCGGCCAACACTGCAATGGCCGGTCCGTTGCGCGGGTGGCCTGTTGACTCGAATGCCCTTGCAATTGCAGGTGTGAAGAATTTGTTGACAGTCTGTGGAGAGCAATCTGCCATTGCTCAGCCTGCTCCTCGTGGACATGCTGGCACTGTTCAAGAAGAGTCCCGAGAGGAAGAAACGATTGTCGCAATTGCATCTGTCGCGAAGGTGGATCAGGTTCTTGGCTGTCAGTACTTTGAAGGGCCTGGACGACGACTGAGCTTGCTAGCATGCAACTGGGATCCTGACAATGGTCAGGGCGGGTCCCGCGCGTCAGCGGGCATAAGTGGACCCGACCCTGACAGCGCCGCAGGGAGGAATATACATCGTAGCAGCTCGAACATATGGTACTCTCAGAAGAAGCAGTCCGATGAAGCGGCGCAGTCCAGTAATCGCTCGTGGAATGAGAATGGTCGACACGAGCTGCAAAACATTTTGAACCGATGCGAGTTGGAAGGCAATTATGCTCGAGCAGCGGCACTGGCGGTTTTTCATGGGGACCTTAATGCAGCAGTGGCGCTTCTGCAAAGAGGAGCGATGTGGATGACTCAAATGCAGCACCTGAACGTCGGTGTCTCGTCGCCTTATACGCCTGACTTGTTGCAGCTGATTGCGATGTCTGTCGCAGGGTATTCGTCGTCCGTCACATGTGCGGGTGGGTTGTCTCTGTGGTTGTCCATGACACAGCAATTGTTAAAGCGAAGTGAGATCATGTCCCAGGCAAACCCTCGGTATTTCCACGCGATGCTTTCCTTCCTGTGCGTCACGAGCTCGTCGTGTTCGTCGAGCACGGCAAACTCGAATGCTATACGAACAACTCAGCAACCACCGCGACGCCCGATCAGTCGTAGACAATGGGGAAGCGTCGATGGGCTAGCGGCTTTTGCTGCTCGGCCTGCAAGTGCTGGCGCGTACTTCGCGATTCTCCACGATGTCACGCTCCCGCTGAGTGATCGGCTTGCGTTCGCTTGTCGATATCTCCAGGCCGACGACTTGCTTGCGTTTGTCAATCAGCACGAAAAGGAGAGTGAGCAGTGTGGTCGTCTGGAAGGATTGCTGGTAACTGGAATCAACGCCGATGGCATCAGGCTTTTGCAGACGTACTTGGACATGACGGGCGACATCCAGACGCTTGCACTGCTGGCTGCGCGACTTCCCTCTTCGCACAAGGCAAAGTCATCTTCGATGGAGAAGTGGATCCAGATATACAAAGATTTGCTGAATCAATGGCAGCTTTTCCATGAGCGAGCTCGATTCGACGTGGGCCGTTCGCAGCTCGAGGACCTTCTCAATGGCTTTGCCAGCGTCTCGCGTGACTGTGATGCCGACGACCATCATGCGGAACTTCCGAAACCATCAGCGCTTTCCGTCCCACCCCAATTGTTTGTGCGATGCAACTTTTGCAACGCATCGCTGTCGCTAGCGTGCTTGCTTCGACTCGGAGGCTCGCACTCGTCATGGCTGAATCGTGCCAAACCCAAGCTGACGTGCTGCCCGACATGTCGGAAACCGTTGCCACAGTGCGCGCTATGCTTGCTCCCGTTTGGATCGCTCAACCCGTACTTCGAATTGGCTCATCGCCGCTCAAGGCAAACATCAGATGCAGTGAACACATTGGTGACCAGCGTAGCAGCCGATTATGGAGGTGTGCTCAAGGAGCCCAAGACAGGCAAGAACGAGTACGAGAACCTGGGCCAGCTCTCTAGCATTCCGTTTGTCGAGTGGTTCACTTGGTGCCAATCGTGCAAGCACGGTGGCCATGCCCACCACCTTGCAGACTGGTTCAGAACGCATACGGTGTGCCCTGTGACCGACTGCAACTGCCAGTGCCAGCACTTGGACTTGCGGATCGTGGGCGACGACAACCAAACGACGATCATCGAGCACCAGCGATCCAGCATCGCAGCTTTGGCTGCCCAACGTGCAGCATCGAAGGAAAAAAGAGTCTACAGCAGCAGCAGCACTACCATCCGCAGAATATGCAGGATATGAAAGCACCGTTGCGCGCTGGTAAAAAGATGTTTCTGGACAAGCAACAGCAGCAAGTGCCACTGGAATCGCAAAACTCGCAGCACAATTTCTCGATGTCTTCTACTATCGGAACGGGCTCCACGTATCGCTCCTTCTCTTCCGCTCAATTGAGACCAAGTGGCTCAAGTAGCGGATACCCACCGCCTTTTTCGCTCTCAGGAAGTAACTCCGGAGCAAACCTGTTGAGTGGGGTCAACGCGGTTGGTGCGGGCAGCAACGTCGGCAGCGGATCAGTAAGCGACGGTATTTCTCTCGGCAACAAACTCGATCAATTGGAAAAAGACAAGAGCAGCAGCAGCAGCTACCAGTACATGTGAGAGTTTCCAACATCACGAACGAGAAGCGATGTCGCGTCGACAATGAATCGTCTTGCAATCGTGTATCCCAGTGCGGATCAGTCCTCGAGTCTCGTGGCTGTGAGGCAACAAAAAGGGCGCACATATGCAAGACACCCCTGGCGACTTTGGCGTCTGCGTTTGCTACCCACTCACGTTGATGAGTCTCTGATGATGCAATCGCTTCTCGCTGAAGCTCGACACGACGTCAGCCTGTAGGCGAGCCTCATATTGGAGCTCAAGTCTATCGCCGCAATCCCTCGCTTTGACCGGTGATGTCGACATCGCAGAAGCTCAAGTTCTGCATCTTCTTTTCCAGCTCCGGTGTCACGCCAAGACGATCGAGCGTGTCAGGACTAACATCGTCCAGTGAATATGGGGAGCGTCGCTTGCTCCGTTGGGATGTTGCTCGAATACTGAGCTGAGGAAAGCGTTGTCGACGAGATGTTGGCTTTGCATCAGCCCTGCAAAATCGGTGGCGGGCATTGTTGCAATCTGATGAATCGGCATTTGCTTAGACTTGTATCCGGGACGTAGCTGAGAGAAACTTTGTCGATGGAATGCACCATCAACCGAACGACTACGGGCAGCATGGTATCAGTTGCGAGCGATAAAGCATTAACGGTCGTAAAGATGGAGCGCAAACGATTTTGCCAAAGTGAGCAGTTGGGAGTCAGTATGCTGCTCTGACGACGCCTGAAGGAAGGCACAAGGAAGCATGGTCAGCGAAGTGCCGAGACAGAAAGGGCCAGAAACTGACCGATACACGGTCGACAATGTGCGACATGGTTTAGCCGTTGTCAAAGCCAAGAGGTGCAGCTGAGTGAGAGAAATGCCGTCAAGAGGGCCTCGATGCCATGTGCATCAAGACCTGATAAGATGTCGCACCATATCGACGACGAAGAGGGACAACAATGTGTCGACTTGAATGCTGTTTTTTGCAGCGACTGCTTGGTAGGTAAAGCTGGACGTATGTTGTTGGCCACATCTTTATAACGGTCTTGACGGCTGTGAGCAATTAAGCCGAGGCGGTTGCAGCGACTAGGGCGGGACTTGGATGCCAATCGATGCGAAGTGGATCAGCGATGGCAAGAGCGCTTGACCTGCAGTCATTCGGTCTCACGCGTGTCGTCGCGAAGCCATTTACACTCTCATTGTCAGGATATACTGCCACGTACGTCTCGGAACTTACGCAGAAGAAGGCACCGTAGCGTATGTTACACGGTGAAATATGACGGAGCACCGACACGTTGCCATGTCGTTTCGCGTCGACAGAATCATGCGTCTGTCTTGTGCGCCTTGGTGCAATGATAGCAAATGGCATGAACGAGTTCGCGTCTCGGTCTTATCACTCGATGAGACCACGATGAGCTTTCCGGTCTGTGTGGTCTTTGTGTTGACCATAGCGATCACGTCGCTGAACAACCAGGTTGTAGCTTGGCCAACGCGGAGAAGATGAGGTCTGCTGACAAAAGGAACAGGATCGAGCATAAAGCGTCCCAAGTCCTGACCAGCTCACAGCCAAACCATCGGATCTCATGCTCTACGGAGCACAACAACTTGTCAGCTTTACCATGCAACTATAGAATGAAGCAGAATGGTACTCTTCGCACACCTTGGGAGCTGCAACAACTGCAGCGTCACGTCGTCATTTGGTGTCATCACGAAGACGCCCGCCAACTGTTTACTCCGCCGCTGGCAGAAGATCACGTGTGCACCACTGCATTCAGTTGCAGTGGTGCGCATGTGGGTAGTCTGCATACTGATGCCAGCAGCTGAGTGCCGAAGATTCTGCCAACCCGATACGCCAGCGCTGTCGTCTCTTCGCGGCACTCGCCAAAACTTGCGGCAGACTGCCTCAGCAGACCTTCTTTGACCTATTGCGCTCAACTTGAAGTGCACGCGACGTGGACATTCGACATCGACGCAGCAGCTCACGTGGTCTCCAAATTCCAGCCCTTGTAATCGCTGCCGCTGTCCGAACCTGTACAATCTCCTTCTTCATCGCCGCTTGCTGCTGAGACCAAATATGTGCAGCAGCTCTATCGTACAATAGAGCGGTGAAACGGAATGCTATGCTGCTGTATTTACATTGAAGCAGCCCCAGCTGGTCAAGCTGCCAGCCCATAGATAGAGATACATACGAGTAGATCGAGCGACCAGCACCCATGCGGAAAGACTACGCTCTCCGTCCAGCAAAGAGAGAGCGAGACCCCAACGCCAACCACCTCGATCAATACTGGACGCTCGAGGAGAAGAAGACAAAAGGCGGCCAACGTCTGGTAGCAATCAAGACGTGGCGTCAGGGTCGTCGAGACACACCTCCGAGCCATAGATCGACGACACCAGCACGCTCAGACGACTGCGGAGACGGCCATTGCGCTCTTGCAGATCGTAGACAGTCTACAAAGGACACCAAACACCATACAACAGCGATCAAAGTGAGCGACTGCAGTCCTCCTCAACCAGTAACCAATGCACTTGGTCGTACCTGTTGACTCTTCTCCAGCACCCGCTTCTTGCGCAGTCGAGCTCTCCGCGCGTGCAAGCGGTTCCGTTCGCGACGCACACGTTCCCGCTCCTCCTTGGAACCGACAGGCACGAAACTAGCAGCAGCAGTGCTAGCAGCAGCACTGGTACAAGTGCCTGTCGACAAGTGCAGTCTCCGCCCGTTCGCATTAAGCTGCACGCTACCCAGACACGTGCAGCCCTCATCGCCTTCCCCAAGTCCACATCCCTTCTCGTGCTCGTGCATCCCATCGTCGCCGTCGCTCTCGTCCATCAGTCTGTCCTCTTTGCAGTCCCTCGTCCCCTTGACGTCCATCTGCTCGAGCTGCTGCACACACGGGACGTCGTGACCCATTCCAAGGCTCAAGAGACACACAGCCGTCGCGTGAAAGTCGTAGACGTGCGTCAACAGCTCAAACTCGTCCTGGAGCGCGTCCATCTGCTCCTTGAGGCGCTCGAGCAGCTCGCGCTTGCGAATCCGCGTGCGTTGCGCGTGCAGGCGATTGCGCTCGCGACTCACGCGCAACTTGGCACGTTCCCCCGAGCACTCGGTCTCATTCGAGCCGTCCGTGTGCGTGGGCGAGTCCCCGGGCAGCGTCGGCGTGCAGCTCCTGCTGTCCTTCTTGACGGGCGACGTGGACGGGGGGAAGAAACACCCGCCCGAGCCGTACGACTGTACGCTCGTGGGCGTGCGCAGACTCGCACTGTCCAGTTCTTCGTCCTGCGCCTTGCGCCGCACGCACCCGGGCAGCGGTACGCCAAAGTACTTGGCCATGACCGCTTCGTCCTGCGCGCGCTGGTCCTCGCGGTCGTCGGTACGCGCCGCCGGTCCGTTCACAGCAAACAGCGCCATGGGACTCGCGACGCTGAGCGGCTGAATCGACGACCAGCCACTGCGGGCCGAGCTGCAGCCAAACGTCAACATAGGAGAACAATAGCGGCAGCGCTTTGGTCAACGGGTCCTGGAGCTGCTGTGGGAAGACCGACAATGCCGTCGCCGAGCGCAAGGGGGCGACTGGACGGCGACAACGTCGGGCGAACTGCCTCTGCCTCTGCCTCTCTCTCTCTCTCTCTCTCTCTATGTGTGTGTGTGTGTACGTGACTGCGTGTCACTGCGTGTCTCTCGAAGCTGTAGCGTCGGATGGTACCGAGTGTCGATCGCTCTGTCTGTGTCTGTCGATTGGTCTGTTGGTCAGTGTGCCGATTGGTCAGTGTGTCGATTGGTCGACTTGACTCAGGGCCGAGTGTTTGTGTCGTTGAGTGGTCAAGAGGTCCAATAGCGAACGCAGAGATACCGGGGGATAGTGGGGTGGGAGGGGGTGACGCACGCGGGTGATGGGACGGTCCCGTCGTTGTCTCGATGCGGACGCCGGGGTTTTCGTACTTAGTGGAGACAACGACCGCCAGGGATCGGGTGCTTCGTTTCCGGATGCTAAGCGATGGACAGAGACGGGCGACTGTGCGCGACATGTGCAGTTGTAGAAGCGGCCGCGGGGACTTGAGACGATCGGGAGCGAGCGGTTTGTCATCGAGCGCTGTTCATTGGCTCGTTTGGAGCTGGTCGGGTGACGACGATCGGGAGCACCGCGTGGGTGCACTGCCAGCTGGAGAGCGAGTGTGTGTACGTACGGTCCGTCGGTCGAATCGAAAAAAAAGGACTGGACACGAAGGGATAGGAACCGTAGGACGAGCGCTGTCGGGGGCCGTAGAGATTGATTGAAGTTTGGCAGCGTGCGACGAGCCAGTCGCACGATCAGACTGTGCGGTGGCGCGCCCGTGTCTTCCTGAGCAAAGAGGTTCCTCCTATGTGTGTATGCAGAAAGTGAAGGTGAAGAAAGGAGAGACAGTCGATGATAATCTACGAGATGCTGCTACGGACGTGGTGGACCTCACGGCGTGTTGTAGCTTCGGTTACCATTGCAGGGGGATGGGCGACGAGTCGCACGTGGTCGACGTAACTTCAACGTACTCGGTCTGTACACACCGCTGGGACTGCTGAGCCGTCATGATGACCTGCAGTAGATACGGATTCAGAATGGGTACAAGTAACGCATCGAAAACCGAACGTGGAGCGAATCAGAGAGAGTCTGATGTGGTTTGCCTGTGTATCGCGTCTCCAGGCAGCTGCAGAAGGTTGCGCTCGAGATGCTTTCGCAAATCAACGCCCGTGGTGCTGGCTGCCATGCTCGAGAGGTCGCAGGCGCCGCGCAGTATCGTGATCTGGGCCATCTTGGAGTGCTGCAAGATCGCGACTGTGTAAGGAGGAAGACGATGGATGGACGGACGGACGGATGGCATCAATGTAAAGTGAATATGCTCTCGGTCGCTAGTGTGGAAATGGAGTTGCAATGATCACGTCTGCGCACATTGCAGCACTGCTAGAAGCGGCAATCGGGCGACTGAGGCTCGTGATAGCAACGAGGCAGCATTTGGTCGTTATTTGACACAGTTGCGGTCCACGATCGGGTGTCGTGCAGGCAGAGAGCTTGTTCGACGTGAAATCTAGAAGACATGCAGAAGAATCGTAAACGCGGTGCCGCTTGTGGATGCTGTGCTGTCGAAGGAGAAGATGAGCTGACGAGACGTGGAGGCAAAAGATGACAAGCAGCTCGTGGGCCAAATTTGGGCCTTGTTGCTGGAGCTCTACGGGATACTGGATACGCAAAAAGTCATGAGCTGCTGTAAGCCGCGTGCCACGCATCGAAAGCAGCGTCCGACGTCAGGAGCATCCAGCAGCGTCTTTTCCGTGCAGTGATCCAGACGTGACGTCTTGAAACACTTTGCTTCGCTGATCTCTTTGCTTCTTTTGACTTGCGCCTTCATTGCAGGCACTATGCTCTCGACGGTCATCTACATGTAAATCTCTTCTCTACTAAATGACAACTCAAATGGTCTTGCCTAAGCCGCACGTCAATTTCACTGGTAGGATCTCTTGCACCAGCAGGAACCTGCCACAACCAAGCGTTTTGGCCAGGATCGACTGTAAGCCGAAGCACCTTTGGCAGTTTTTTGCGTCGACTCGAACTGTCGGAACCAACAAAAGCGCAACATCTTAGCATTTCGCAGGTGCTTTTGCTCCAGTGCTGCGAAACTACTGGTTACTTCCACTGAGCCTCGAGTCAAGGGATGGATATCCACACGCGTGTTGGGACATTGGACTTCTACTTTGCAGCTGGCATGTGCGCAACATGGCTCTTGTCGACAAAGTCTCGTCGATTCAGCAGATTACCAACTCGCTTTACATCGCCATAAGTCACGCTTAAGCTGTTTTGCGCACAACCTAGAGAAGTGTCGTCTTCCGGATAAGAAACATCTTAAAAGTATTCTATCGTCGTTTTCGCTCTTAAGCGACAACGCTAACTGTCATTTTTCTAAAATCAGTGCAAAAAAATCGGGCTCCGAACAAAACTGCTGCGCAATGGCGGACGAGGTGAAGACGACGGTCCCCGGCGTGGAGCTGGTCTCAGGCAGCATCAGTCTCCCGTCGACTGAGACGAACACGCTCGATGAACCTGTCTCGGCTACCATTGTACGTGCACTGATTGCGTAAACCGCAGCTCGACGCTCGCTCTCTTGTATCGAGACTGACCACGTCCCCTCTTGTGTTGTAGCTCCGCGACCTGCGGCTCGTCGGTAGCAAGTTGCGCGTCGTGCTCATGCCCAGTAACACGTCAGAAGAGACGCTGAAGGCGCTGCGGGACTGTACGATGGCTGAGATGCGGACAACGTCGACCACTTGACGCCTAACTTTGTGCCTCGAACGCTGTGTTGTCCAGGGGATCTCTGGGGACCACTGCTGCTATGTCTGACGCTCTCCATGTACGCTATGCAGCTCAGAGATTGGTACAAGTAAGTGGTGGCAGGTCTAAGCTATACTACTCGTCCTCTGGTGCCGTTTATGTTGATGTAGAATGCTGAGCGTGACGGCTCCTGCGGCTCAGTCGGCCATGGTGTTTACAGGGGTCTTTGTGGTGATCTGGCTGGGTGCTTCGATCGTCACTGTCAATGCACAACTGCTGGGTAGCTCCATGTACGTTGACGTGGATGTGATCTTTACGGTGTGTGAACGTGGCATTGACGAAAAGGATGGGGGTTGTATCGACTTGTTATGCGCACAGATCGTTCTTTCAGAGCGTGTGCGTGCTGGGGTACTGCGTGTTTCCACTGAACATCGCGACGCTCGTGTGCATGCTGACAAGAATCGCGGTCTCGCACATTGCGCTGCGTGCGTTGGTCGTTGGTGTGGGTTTTCTCTGGTCGACACGAGGTACGACGACATGCTGCATTGCGATGCCCTCAAGACAGTACATACTGACTTTGCTCGTGCTTTGCTCGTGCGCTTGATACTACGACGACTGCGTGTTTGGCCGTGCAGCGTCGGTCGTGTTCATGTCGAAACTAGTGCCGCCGAAGCGAAAAGCACTGACAGTGTACCCAGTCCTGCTTTTTTACCTCTTTATCAGCTGGATGGTGCTTATCCAGTAAGACTCGCACTATCAGTGCGCCGCGTGCGGCAGTATAAGGTCCTCGCAATACGAACAGACGCGCTTTTCTAACTCGATAGAGCGGCACGTTTTACATTCGATTACCGCGTCCTTCCCCTAAATGGAAGCAAAAATCCCTTTATTTCTATCACCCACTCTCATCCACTCACGAAACTATGAGCGCCGCCGAGCAGCTCGAGAGCCTCATTAGCTCGGTCGAGGCAGATCTAGGCATCGTAGCCAACGCTCCCGTCGTTGACGACAGCAAGCAGCAGCAGCAGCAGCAGCAGACAGAACAGACGGAGCAGCAGCAGACAGAACAGACGGAGCAGCAGCAGACCGAGCAGAAGGAGCAGTCGAAGCGTACCAAGCGTGCCAAGACGCCAACGACTGCTAAAACATCCACTGTCGCCTCGACTCAGCCGGAGATCACCAAGTTGGATATTCGTGTGGGCCACATCAAAAACGTCTGGAAGCACGGGACCGCCGACAAACTCTACTGCGAGGAGATCGACGTGGGGGAAGACGCGCCTCGCGCGATCGCGAGCGGCCTCGTGCCCCACTACGCGCTCGGCGAGATGCAGGACCGTCGTGTGCTGGTGCTGTGCAACTTGAAACCGCGCAATCTCGTGGGCTTCCGGAGCCACGGTATGGTCTTGTGTGCAGCTGTGCCGCAGGCTGATGGGACGGAGAAGGTGGTGTTTGTGACGCCGCCAGAAGGCGCGAACGTGGGCGAACGCATTTCGTTTCCAGGACTCAGTGGCGAGCCCCTGTCACCAGCGCAGGTGGAGAAGAAAAAGGTGCTTTCGGTGCTGGGCGACGACATGAAGACGGACGAGAAGGGCGTTGCCAAGTGGCTCGAGCACGAGTTCACCACGTCAGCAGGTCCCTGTACGGCTCTGGTCCATAATGGCGTGATCCGATAAGGTCGGGCGGTGTAGCTGGTGGAGGTGGATGGCTGAAGAGAGGATGGAGTGGCTGCTGGCTGTTGACTGGAGAGCGAGGAGAAGAGAGATGCTGCTGCTACTGCTGCTGACCTCTAGTAGCAAGACACAGGAGGAATATGAACGGGATGGTGGCGCCAATCAAGTGCGTTTACGTTTATGTCGAGCACGTGTTACTGCCGGTTGTGCACCACCTGTCGTCGTCTTGTTCTTCTTCTTCTTCTTTGCCTTCTTCTTGAGTGGAAATGAGACTTCTGCCTCGTCTTCGTCGCTCGCTCGCTCTTGGGGATCCGCGTCGTCTTCGGCAATCGTTGTGCTGCCAGTAGTCTCAGTTGAACGCTTGTTGGCGGTATCTGCCTTAGCTCTCGACTTTGCCTTCGTCCTGCGTCTCGATGTGGTCACATTCGCAACCACGTCTTCATCGATGTCACCTGCAGCAACGTCTTCGTTCCTGCGGTCGTCCAGATCGTCCTGCGTGGAGCTTTCTTGCGGTTCATCTGCCATAGACGGCTTTGCAGCCGCGCGACGCTTCTCGTTCGCCGAATGGCCTTTGCTGGAAGAAGACACCGACGTCGAGGATCGCAGTGCCTGTCGATGATCTCCATCATCGGACATCTCTCGCGACTCGAGTTTGCCATTGTGAAGAGGAGTTGGCGTGGATGTCGGACTCAGACCTTGCCGTCGTCGATCAGCAGGCTTGCTTTTCTCGTCATTGCGTAGACGCACAGGTGTGTGACAAACCTCGAACAATTCATCCTGCGGTGACTGAGGGGCACAAGTCGTCGAAGCTTGCGGGGACATCGGCGCTGTCTGGGCGCCACCCGGCGCGTAGGTCATGCGCCGCGACTGTTGAGTCTGCTGCTGCTGCCGCTGCAAATCGTGTTGCCGCAGGTCATACTCTACTTCCACTGCCATCTGCGGGTCCGTGCTCATGAAAATGTCTTTCACCTCCTGGCGGTACATCTTGAACAGTTCGCGAATATAGTGCAGCAAGTAGCGAGTCAAAGGACTGTGCTTCGCCTCTAGTGTGTGCTTGAGCCCAATGAGCACCGGCACGACGTTTTCGAGGAAGTTCTTCTTCGACATCTTAGAAAGCAGTTTGCCTTTGGCGGCTGCAATCTGTGTCGCGACACTAGCCGTTGTACCAGTCGATGCGTCTGCTCCTTCGAGCTCATCGTCTTCCTCCTTCGAGGTAGTGAGCTTGATCTCAGGGGAGCACAGAATTGCAAACGTATCCTTGAGGACTGCTTCTGTGCAATGATCCGTGATCTGCGACGGATTATCGCACAACGGCAGTGTGCCATCCATCACTTCCTCCAGCACTTCATTGCAGAGCTTCATCGAAATCTGCAGCTTCTGCTCGTCCGTCATGTGCTCCAACAAAAAGGTGTACAGCTTCGCCCGTCGTGGGTAGCATGCATTTCCCAGCAGCGCGAGTTCGCGCGCACCCTCCTCCTCGAAAGGCTCTGTGAACTTAATTTTGCCACACTGGACCCCGTTGAAGACAAAGATTATTTCAATGAACTTGCTTGTAAAAAGGTGCGGCGACTTTTGCAGCAAAGGGCCACACAGTACGTGGCGAGCCAGATTGGCCAGCTCTTCGTCTTCGTCTACTGCCGCGCGAAGGAAAAAGCGCAGCAGCGACTCGCGCCACTTTATGTAGTCCTGCAGGATCAGCTGGGAGAACAGCAACAATGCACCGCGGCGCAACAAGCGGCTCTTGTCCAGAAGTGACAAGGCGATAGTCGGAACGTACGCGTCAACGAGGGACGTGTAGCGAATGCAAAGATCGCCTAAAATCAGCAGAATGTTCGACCGAATGTCCTGCTCCTCGCAAGTTCGCAGCTCACGAATGAACATAGTCATGCACTTCTTGGCTAGGTCGCTGTCACGCAAGCACAGCTTGCCAAGTGTCACGAAGGCACAAACACGAACAGGAGTCGGCAGCGGGATGGAATCCGACACGGCCGTCGTTTCACTTCCATCACTTTGCACTGTGCATAGTGACATGGACCGGTTGATGGCGACGCTGTCGACGACAAACTTTGGTGGCAAAAAGAGCTGCACAAGGGACTTCAGACTCGAAGTAACCGGTAAGAGTGCAGCCTCGCTGCTCTTGTCGGCGTCCTTGTCGAACTCAAGCAGTGCGACGTCACCAATTGAAATCAATTGCTTCTGCAACAGCGATGTTTCATCCTCTACGCTATCTGGGCTGCTTTTAAAACATTTGCGAAGGTTAGCTTCGCACAAGTCAAGCAGTTTCTTCCCCCACGCAAAGCTAATCTCGCGGCTCTTTTCAGACGTCGAGGCTTTGGCTCTGCAGATGCTGTTCAAGGCAAGGATTCCATCGGCAATGACATTCAGTGGAATGGCAAACGAGTACAAGGATGCCAATATGCCGTCTGCAATCGACTTGGCATCTTGTGCATCGATGACAGTTGCAATCGCAGCAATCACGCGCAAAATGCGCTTCGACCCATCGTTAAATTCCACCGGCAGTGCCTGGTCTTGAAGTTTGTTCCAGCACTCGACGACGATGCTCAAGTTCTGTTGTTTTCCTCTCACAGCTTCAACAAGTTTGTTCGAGAGCGCCAGCTCTTCCAGCACAATCCAGCTGAAACCCCAATACCGAGTCACCGTTTGACGAGTAGTGTCATCCCCCACTTCCTCTTGCATCGCGTCGCCAGAGCGATACTGACTTACGCTCTCTTTGATTGCAAACACGCACGCCTTGACGACTTTTTCGACATCAATTTTGTCGTTCTTGATGAGCATACGCATCGCCTTCTGCAAGCAGCGAGCCATGACACCGTCGAGGTGCGACATCTGCATCCAGGCGCTGTCGCAAGCTTCTCGCTGGGACTTGTTGCGGCGCACGTCGAACCACGTCAGAATTCGCTCAAACACAACTTTTCCAGTTGCTTCCAGTGCACAAGTCTGCACACTCATCTCGGGATCAACACAAAGTGGAAGTACCCCAAGGTTCCACAGTTTCTGAGCTTCCTCATCGCACGGGAATTTGAGTAAGATCGCTGACAACGACTTGATTGACTGCACGCGAACCACAACCGAAGAGTCTGTACACCGCGCATGGATATCAAACAGGTCTCTCCTCGCAGAACCACGTATGACATCGCCTGATTGTGCAGTCACAAGTGCTTCCAAAGCGTGCACCGCAGCTCTGCGCACGTAAGTCTTGTCATCCGCCAGCCGCTCGCGGAAAAGGTCAACGAGTCGCTGCATCAGTGGAGTTTCTACGAGCGTCATTTTTCCGTCAGTATCAACCAATGACTCATATAACAACTCTTGTAGCGAGCTTGCAATGGCTTTTGATCTGCTACCGTCGTCCATCAGCTCATCAGTGTCTTCATCGTCACCACCAGCCAAGTTTGACAAACCGAGTGTAAGCATGGCCGAAATTCCAGCAATCGCCTTCGTGCGAACTTGGGACATCTTGTCTTGAGCCCGATCGATGAGTACCTCCAGAAGCGGACCTACGCCCGAATACGCAATCAGTGTTTCGGGCAATTCGCTCTCCTTCATATCCCAAAACTCAGCTTCCACGATAAGGCGGCTGAGCAGCTCTACCGCAAACTGGCGATACTTTAGCTTCGCGTTGCGAGAATAACTTGCCAGGAATCGCACAAATCTTGCAGACTCTTCGTCCCGGAACTCGCTCGGTTTTTCCTGCTCTTCTCGTTCGCTTTCCCGTCGTCCAGCCATGGCAGTCGAGTAAATGTACGAGAGGACACGTTGCCGTTCATCCGCCAGACCTGGTGCCTGCAAACAAATGTTTTGCAGTAAACCCAGCAACAACAACGAGTTTTGCTGGCATGCAGTATCATCTGCACTATCTTCAGTGCCGTCTTCCGTTACGATGCGCTGGATCCGAGAGATCACATCGATCGACAGCTTGTGAAAACGCAACGACGATCTCGTTTCCTTTGCCACAGTGTCTTGGAACGTCAAGCCAGGAATGTAAAAATGCAGCACAGCTTTTCCAATCTCCACTGGCTCACCATGCGTTCCACTCACTAGTGCTTCCATCATTTGCACTGTTTTCTTCGTGATTGCCAACGCCGTGCCTTCATTCTCCGGCTGCACAGCCGTCTGCAGCGCAATCGCTGTCTCGATCGTCGGGGCAATCGACTCTTCACTGGATGATAGCGAGAAACTGCTCAGGAACGTCACAAACGTATCCAGTAACTCCAATCCACACGCCGTGAGCATCTCTGATGTCACAAAACTATTACCATTATCCTCTTCGTCATCATCACTTTTTTCTCCTTCTTCGTCCATGTGCTGCTCGGTCCTTCCTCCACCTCGTCGCCCCCCTCGTCGTCTTGTTGCACGAATCGTTACTGCTACACTCGGTGTTGCCCCTCGATCTTTCCCTGCAGCAACAAGTACGATCCATTTCTTCAATGTGTCCAGCACTTGGCGGTAGACGTACGACATGAAAAGACCGTACGCTGCGCCACCCGGCAGCCGGAGCCACGCCAAGTATATTCTGCCCGCAACGAGCGCTCTCGCAAGCACGTGGCGCTTCTCCGCGTCGTTCAGTGACGCGTACACGTCACGCACATTGAGAATCGACTGAAGTAGCGTCAAGAGCGAGCGGTAGACCGCGTCGTGGTTCTCTGCGTCCGGTACCTGCGACACGCCTACATCCGGAGCTTCTGATGACGTAAACAATTGCCATAGACGCACCACTGGCGCATCGGTAGCGTCGGATAGGCGAGTGACCGTCGTCGAGTCCTGACGGGGTCCATACAGAGCGAGCACTCGGCCCACAGCGCGCAGCTGCCGTAGCGAGACGTGGTCGCACCAGTCGTCACGTACAGAGGCAGTGCCACCAGTGTCAAAGAGGCACGAGATGGCGCTCGCGGGCACAGACGATAGCGCGAGTGGCTGCAGAGCGCGCACGAGCTTTTGCTCGAGCGCCATGCGGGACGACGCGGTGTGAATTGCAAGGCGTTTCTAAGTGGGTGCGCGTTTCTAACTGTTGCGATAGGGAATCAATGAGGGAGCGCTACTGAAAAACGACCTGATACAATCGGGAATGAAGGAATACTGTGGTACACAGAGTCTTGAGACTGGGTGGTGTCAAGTACGTCCATTATTATGATAACTAACGACTGATAAGTGTGACAAGAAGTACGGCCCGGGTATCGGGTCGACAACTAAAGGGCTCCGTAGAGCCAGGGGCGACGGCAACGAGGTCAGAGACCCTCCTACCGAAGCCAACTACGAGTCAATCATGACCGCTGGCGCGACCAAGTAGACTGGGGACATGCGTACCGCCGGAGCGGCAGCACGTACAACGCGGGTATGCTGCCATATAAGGCAACAAACCCCTTTAGGACCGCTTGCGCGGCCCCCGACGTGGAGTGCGAACACCGAAGTGACTGCGTGGCGTGGAGAACGCCAACCCGCCATATATCTCTCCGAGGAGCTCAACCATCTGCGATGGTGGCCCCCTTCAGCCGCTTGCGCGGCCCCCGACGTGGAGTGCGATCACCGAAGTGACTGCGTGGCGTGGAGAACGCCAACCCGCCATATATCTCTCCGAGGAGCTCAACCATCTGCGATGGTGGCCCCCTTCAGCCGCTTGCGCGGCCCCCGACGTGGAGTGCGATCACCGAAGTGACTGCGTGGCGTGGAGAACGCCAACCCGCCATATATCTCTCCGAGGAGCTCAACCATCTGCGATGGTGGCCCCCTCAGCCGCTTGCGCGGCCCCCGACGTGGAGTGCGATCACCGAAGTGACTGCGTGGCGTGGAGAACGCCAACCCGCCATATATCTCTCCGAGGAGCTCAGCCATCTGCGATGGTGGCCCCCTTCAGCCGCTTGCGCGGCCCCTTGACGTGGAGTGTGCGCTCGCCGCAGCGGCGACACGTGGCGCGGGGTACGCCTCCAGTCCGTAAAACACCCCTGCTAGGGCCGCTTGCGCGACCCGTCGGTCTCCTACGCCCACACCCGCGACTGCGAGTGCAGCGTGCCCGCGTCAGATCTTCGACCACGTCGGCTCCCCAAGGGGAGGATTCCCTCCGACGTGACTGCCCCGAAGGGAAAAAGACTGGCTTGAGCTGAACCGTGAAAATTTGGGAATGGAGTGTCTTGAGACTGGGCCCAGCGCCAGGACTCGCAGCTTGTCATAGTAGTCATTCAAACGACGAAATGAGGTCGCTGGTACTAGCGCTGATACTATGGTGATTGCTGCCAAGTCTTGCACGCCCAACGTGGTGCACAGAGTGGGTGCAGACACGAGGATGGACAGAATCGTTGGTTGCTTGATCGACGAAGCACGGCCTTCATTGACCAGATACATTTCTCCGTTTCATGGGCTCACGTACATAGCTGCAGTGCGGAAGTGAAGGTCTCTGCTTGAGATCGAAGCACATTAATGTATCGATTCTTCATCCCATGGTCACGATAGTAATCGACCGTCAGCTGTGTGGTACGGCTGAGAAGCACGACGTGCGTGTGAGCTCGATTTAGTGCCGAATCGACGATGAACATGCCATTCGGGCACTTCCCACACGCAGCCTCGTCGTCCATTTGGGAGAGAATCCTGTTGTAATACAGCTGAAGATGTACAGGCCATTTGTTTTGTCATCGCCAGTATGACCACGTGTGTGGTCGTTCGTCATGGATCAGGCTACTACTAGCCACTGCATCGGTTCGTGGTAGATCTGCTCGTGCCCTTTGTCGTCGAATCCTCACCAGTCCAGCCTGTCACCGGCTGTCAGAATGTGTAGTCCGAACTTCGGCGGACACCGATATGCAGTACACGATATTGTCGATACCGTCGTAGAGTGCTGTCAGTGACATGACGGGCGCTTTCACACATCGATCCTGGGCGTATGTGCTTTGTCAACATCACCGGAGATCGTTTGCTTCATCTTTATTGTCAGCGACGGTCGTATTGATGGCTGACACGTTGTTTTTTACACCCGCGAAACGACGAGCAGAAACTATGTGGGATGAAGAATAGAATAGCGCATCTATCGACACTTGCGCCACTGTTTACGAGAAGCCACGGATTTGCAACACGTTGTACGACATGACTGCAGTCGCATCCACTGCGACTTTTCGCGCGTCGATAAAGCCGACACTCGATTAAAATCGCTCCACGATCGTCAAAAGCGAAGGACAACACGGTATTCTATGAATGTATGTGGGATCAAGTGAGTGAGTGAGTGAGTGAGTGAATAAACGGATCGACAAAAGAGACCCGTTGTAACTTCATCTGCGACGTGGTGCCCACGTAATCACTCACGAGCCGCGATTGGCTGAATTGTCCAAGTCGCTTGTCCGTAATAGTTCATTTTCCTTCTGGCTTCTCACACACTACACTATGGGGTGCGCTTCCAGTACCGAGACGTTCCAGCCACTTCCCGACAGCTACAATTCCCTCGGTACGTACTGTCATTTTCGATGGTTGCTGCACCATATCTGACGGACGGACTCCAACCATACAAACGAACAATGTCGTGAACAACACCAATGCTGCTCTACTGTACCTCTCGGTTCAACAGAAGAAGTGCAGAAAGCTCTGCGGTGAGCGTACATTCCGTTTACTTGTCGTTGACCAGAACAGAGCCATTGGATCATTAAAGTCCACTGAACATCGTATGATCATCGTCTGTTTGCATGTGATCACTAGACGCGTGGGTCTGCAGTCGTCCGACTTGATCATCGCAGTACGTGCAATTTGCAATTTGTTGGGAACCTTTGATTGCAGTGTATAGTACCGCTAGTGTAATGCGATGTGTCGATGGTGGTCGTTGTGCACGAGTGCAGGTGGACTTTACCGAATCAAACCTGGTGCGAGATGGTTTACGTGCTTTGCAATGGTGGCTGTTGTCGCTAACGGACTGTTGTATGTGTTTGCTCGACTTTGGCAGTGGAAAGGAGAACAGACGTTTGAAGGAAGGTCGCTGCACTATGTTGATACATCAGGACGTGTGGTGAACCCTTACCAAGTATGTGGCTAGATGCTGTGAATAATGGTCTTGTAGATCGTATCGTGCGTCTGAGTCGTGTTTGTTTGCAGAAAGTGATCTCGGCCATCACTCGAGTGTTCGAGTTGTTCAACGACGACGATACGATCCCGGCTTTTGGCTACGGCGGCTACCCGGACCTCCCAGTTACCGAACGGTACTTTTCATTCGCCAAGGACCACGGTTGTGAACTCGACGATGTGTTGCAGCGATACTTTGCCATTGCTTCGACAATGGAACTAAACTCTTCGGCAAGCTTCGTACCGGTTATCTACGAAGCAATCAAGATGGCCAGGAATAGCCGCCGCTACCACATTTTGATCATCATCTCAAACGGCCATATCGATGATCCTGAGATGGCGAGGAAAGCGATTGTGGAGGCTTCCGAATACCCGCTTTGTACGTGGATAAACAGCTCGACTTTCGGCGTGATTGACGAGTTCGTAGTAGTTGACCCGCGTGTACACCCATGTCTGTGTTCTGGCAGCGATTATCATGGTCGGCGTAGGCGACGGTCCTTGGAACATGATGATTGAGTTCGATGACCAGCTGCCCGAGCGCCGTTTTGACAACTTTCAGTTTGTGAACTATAACACGATTCCAAAAGGCAACTTGGATAACCCGGACGGAGGTTTTGCCATGCAGGCACTCATGGAAATTCCAGGTACATTTTCGATGTGACAGCATAGTAGGAAAAGCCAAGTGGTTGTGGGTATAACTCTGTCACTGGTGTCATTTGCAGGACAATACAGCCGAATTCGAAGACTCTCGCTGATCAAGAATTGACAACGTTGGCGTCGGTGCAGTTGCTACTGGATAGCAAACCGTGTGTAGCATACCTGCACTTTGTATCCCGTGAGGTGATATCGAAGTACGAATGGACTTCAGCGACTTTCGAGCTAGCCATGAAAGTATCAAATCAAGGTGTCGTAACATCGATAAAGGGTAGATCGAAGGTTACCTGCCACGGACAAGAACAAGTGGACGCGCCCGTCGGGATCAGCTCAGTACGAGGCATGTGCAGTAAAGTATGCGGCTGTGGCTGCATTTGATTGATAAAGAAGCACCCAGTAGCGACCTGAACAAATGCATGGCAGGAAACCCGCGTTCTAGCTACTTTTTCCACTCGTGAGGAATTGATGTCAAGAGTGCAAATGTGGCTTTTGCTGTGTGCTTGGAAGACTTGGGAGCTCATGGGAGTGAGATCGTAAACGTCGATGTTGATGGCAACCTCGCACTTAGCACAATGCATTCATTACAGATACAGTCTTGTCGGGTCAGTAGCGCAGGAACACTCACGTCAATACATCCGATACCGGGCATCAGTACAGGCATTCCCAAGAGTGCAATAGCAAGTACTGATCTCTTCAGTCGTGCCTTTCTACCCGGAAGCAACGTTCTCTCGTCACGCATAAGCGTACGATGCAAACCGACTGATGCACTCCTTCGCAACGCCATGATTGGCTTTGTCCTCGACTGAGACCGACAGAGTCAGCTAGTTTTCGGCTGCAAAGCAGTAATCTCAATACCGCTTCGCACGTGAGAAGCAAAGTTTGTTTCTCGAGTCACATTTGTACGTGCCCACAATTGTGTGATGCCTCATATGATGCAGCAAGACAATGCAGCGACTTGCCAAGTCGACGTGTCGTTGATCGATCGCAGCAATATGCGCGTGCCGTGATTGACGCAGAGTACTTCATCATCAGTGACAGACATGACGTGCAAAACTGCTACCCTACATCCTGTACTGCACTTGACACGTGTCTCGTCCGTCCACTGCGGAGTAGTAACAAGAGGCTCGTCACCACTCACCACTCAGCACTTGTGACGCTTTACCGCAACACCACGTGTTGTCGTTGTAGCTACTATCCTGAGCGCGGCCCACTGTAGCTCCGAGACAGGAGAAACAGCGCCTGCCTGTCCGAGATGTCTTTGACCCGTTGAACAAGACTAACATCCACCTTGTGCAGTAAGTCCACTGTGCTCATTGTTGAGATCACACATCAACGTGACACCGCTGCGGTGTGTTCGAGACGTCGTGATTACATCCGTGCAGCGTGCTACGCGGCTTTTGTCTGGTCGAACCTCATGCTCAGGAATCAAAAGGTCTCGTATGCGCTGATATACACTAAAGTCGTACAAGTAGTGTCGGTGCTGAGAAAATGCTAGTGCTTTCCGCAGACGCACTAGCCACGACTTCCGACTGTACTCGGCAGAGTTACTAGTGATGATTAAGGCAGCAGGTCCGAAGGTATGTAGACACTGTCCACGTGCAGCTGAACGTGACAGCCAACACATGATACCAAACACTACTGAGGCCGTCTTGAATTGGATCTCGATGAGCTGATATGGTGACGAGTGTCGAAGAAAAGGATATGCATCTGGAGAGATGGCTTGCGAGGTAGGGCTACGAACGATCATCCGTCCGTCGATGTCCTCCTGTACGAACTTGTGCTGCACACAGTTTTTCTGATCTATGATTGGCTTCGGTACAACATTACTGAACTGATGCTGCTCACGAGATCGCAGAAAGGTAAACCGCTACGAAACAATTGACCCGACACGAAGCGCTGTTATCCTGCAATCAGCATGCTGATCGACCGCCGTAATGCGACGACATACAGTTTACACGCACAAGAGCAAACATTTTCGGCCACTCACGGCCCGACGTCACGTCGCCTTGTCTGCCCGCAACATGCGCATCTCGCCACCCAAAACTAGAGACGCGCACGTCGCTTAAGCGATCCTGCCGTGCATGCACTTGTTTTTGGTCCCTTTTCAGCAAAAACGAACCCAAATACCAATCTCTTTTGCGCTCGTTCGAGACCGAAGGCTGCCCAAAATAAAAAAAACATACCCACTCACTCACCCCGCCCCGTGTGTTCCTCCACCCCATCCCACCACCAGCCACACGTTTGCCCATTCATCTGCCCGCCATGTACGGCCCAAGCCGCAAGCGCTCGTTCGAGGCGGACACCGACAGTCGCAACAACAGCAACAGCGGCCACAACAGCCACAAGCGCTCGCGCCTCGACGACCGCACCCGCCACGCCCCACGACGCACCGACCGCGTGCAAGAAAGCGATGGCGCCCGCGCCTGGCGATTGGCTAAAAAGGCGGTCATCGAGCTCGGCGACGACGACAGCAGCAGCGGTCCCGGCAGTCACGAGGTCTCGACGCCGCTGCTGCTGCACACGCGCGACTTGCTGCTGCAGGAGATGGAGGCGGACGCGCAGGGCGTGAAGCTCGGGCACCTCGTGGCGCTCGTCGTGCGCGCCGCTGCCCGCTTGGCGCCCAAAACAGCGCTCTATGCGACTCTTGTTGCCCTCCTCAATGCCCAGCAACCAGGGTTCGGGCAAGCTGTGGTCGCTAGTGCTACGCGCACGGTTGAGCTGGATCTGGCTTTTTTCTGTCGTGCGACACGCGAGCACGTTGCCGAAGCGGTGGACATGGACGCGTTCCGTCGGAACAAAGACACGACAGCTGTCGCTATCCGCGTGCGGCTCTTGGTGCGGTTCTTGGCGGCGCTTAGTGCTGTTAAAGTGTGTCAAGTGGACAATGTGCTGGAGCTGCTGGACGCGTTCCAGCGGCCGTGTACGGCACAGGAGGAAGACAACGACGACGACGATGACGCACCGTGTGGGTCGATGACGTCGTCGCTGCGAGCTCGAGAAGATGCTGCAGCGTGGAAGGACTTTTTCGCTTTGGTCGTGCTGGATGCTTTGCTGCATGGCGGGCACGACCTCGTGCGGACGTCCGCGAGCGCGGGTCAGACGCTCTGGAGTCGGTGCAGAGAGTACGTGCTGTATCGTGGGGAAGAGCGCAACCCACGGACATCGAGTGCAGGGCCGTCGTCGTGGCGTACAAGACGTTTGCAGATGGACTTGCTGTGGGGACCCGAGGATGAAGACGAGCTGCCAGCGCTCTGTGCTTCGAGTGACGTACTGTCGCTGTTTTATGAAGCAGTGAGTGCTGTCCAGAGTGTCGAGGGAGAGGACAAGGCTGCTGCGTGGCACTTTCCGGGTGTGAGTTATTCGCTCGACGATTTTGCTTCGAAACTCGAGAATGCTGAGGCGCATTCGTTCACAGTATCCTTTGCTATCGACTTGATTAAGGTACGCACGCGATTGATGTTGCACAGGAAGAATGCGATCTGCCTTACTGATACCATTGCTGTCTGTTTTGACTCACAGCTCGACTCGAACAAGATCCCAGCGTACACGGCATGGTTCCGGATCCTGTCGGAGGAATCTGGCGTCGCTGGTGCCGCTGTTGCGGCGATGCCGCTGGCATCGTACCTCACCATTCGCAATCATTTTGTGGACACATTCGAGACGTCGTACCCAAAGCCTGCCATTGCGGCCAAACTGTTGCTGGGTCAATGTCGCACCCAAAACGCTCGGTTTGCGTCATCTGTGGCAGAGGGGGCTAGTCCCGTGAAGACTGAGTATTTGCTTCTGGAGACGTTGTTGGTGGCGGCCTTGAGCGAGAGCACGAAGGCCAAGCTTGGCTACTTCTGCTCGGTGTTGTACCACCTTGTGAAGACGGATGCCAGTATGGTGTCCCCACCGCTGGCTGTAGTCGTGGAGTTGCTGTTTCGTCAAGTGCCGACAATGCGTGCTGCCGCTGTTGATTCGTTCGTGTTACTCTTGAGTCACTTCCTGTCGAACTTTGAGTTCAAGTGGCGCTGGGCCGCATGGTCGTACGTGCTGGAAGCCAGCGAGGACGATCCTCAGCGTCTTTTTGTCAGCGCTGTTATCGAACGCTGCGTGCGTCTTTCGTACCTGCAGCATATGCAGAGCACCCTACCCGCTGAATTCCACGTGCTTTTGCCTCCAGCTCCCAAGCCTCGTATTCGATTTCGTGCCGCGAAAGAGGAAGACGCAGTAATTGGTGCTATGCCTGATGACACCAGCCCTGCGTCAGAGTTTTACCAGTCTGTGGCAACGAAGCTGAAAGGCCATCCGCCCGCTTCAGCTCTGCGCTCCTGGCTCAACGAAGAGCTCCCGCGTCTGGAAATATCGCGCACAGAGGCGATTGAAGTAGTGTGGACATGCATCTTGGAGGCTGGTGCGGCCACATTCACACACATGCGACTACTGCTGGAAAAGTATGGCAAGCGCGGCGAGCTCTTTGCTGGTGCACACCAGTCGGGCGAAGACGTGGATGCCGATGGACTTGCTTTGGTCAAGACGGTAGCTTCTGTTTGGTTGAAGTCGCCGCAGCACATCGGCCTGATTCTGAACGCGATGCTGCGTCAGGATCTGCTCCGTCCAGTTGCGATCGTAACATGGGTCTTCACCCCTGATGCTGTGCAGCAGTACAGCTGGCCGTACGTGTGGGAGATTCTCCGTGACACGCTGAAGTTTGTCCGGGATGCCATCGACGCCAAGACGCAAAAGTTGGAGCAGGCAGCAGCACCGAGATCATCGGAAGACCGCGACGAAGAAATGCCCGACGTTGCCACGCTTGAGGACGATCGCAAACGCTTGCAGGAGGACATGCGGCAGCTGCTCATACTATTGTTCAAAGGCTTTAATCGGGTGCTGATAGAGCACAAAGCCGAATGTGAAGCGGAAGGCTCTGATCCCCGCGACAACTGGTTCCACAGTACGCTTTCGCAGATGCAAGCCATAGGCCACCGCTACCGCGTGCCACTCGAAGGTGCTCTGGACGAGCTGCAGCTTGGGATTTTCAGTTCTAGCGCCTCGGCAGATGCGGACGCCATTAAACTCTATCAGCTCATTCGTGACACGTACCGCAGTGCTTAGGTTTTGCACAGCGAACACAAGTAGAAAGAGCGCAGAAGGATACCAGGAGCGGCTGCGTAGCATGTCCACTATACCGTAGCAAAAAGAAAAAAAACATGTTAGCTTTACCGTCGACGTCGGATCGGTCGCGAGTGCCTCCCTCAACGTCAGTTGCTATCGGCGAGCACAGGGCTTTCCGTCGCCTCATCGACCGTGGCTGCAGGTGCCGCTGTCTTTCGCTTTTTTACCGACATCACGTTCACCGTCGAAGCGACAGCATCTGACGCTTCGAAGCCAACCGTTGTCACCGCCTTGTCCTCTTCCTTGGCTCCTTCTTCCTTGGCCTCTTCTTCCTTGGCTCCTGCTTTACCCGTCGACTCTTTGATCCCATCAACCTTCTCCTTGATTTCCACATAAATCTCCAAGTACTCTAGCAGCGTCTTCTCGTCCGCTTTCAGCGTGTCTTTCTCCTCCTTCTGCACGTCGACACAAGCCAAGAACGCGTCACCCACGGCATCAGGACGGTCCCCGTGGAACTCCAACGACAGCGTCAACTCTCCAGTTGCAGTCGTCGGCACTTTGCGCTTCCTTTTTCCCTCTACATCCGCAGCACCGTCGCCATCGTCTTCCTCGCAATACTTGGGAACACGAGCTTCAACAAACAGTCGCAGCTTGTCATTGCACTTCTTTGCCACACGATGAATATTCTCCGCCATGATGCGGCCAGCCAGGACATAGTAGCCAAGTTCGTCCTTCGATCCTGTCTCCTTGGTCTCCTTGTCCGGCTTGGCATCTCGATAGATACAAGCAATAGCCAGCTGACAGTACAGGTCAGCAAGCTGCGTCGTGTCCTCGGCCTCACTGCGCTTCAGCAGCTTCTCTCGGAGCTCCAGGGCCTTCTCAAAGTCGGCCTTTGCCTGTTCAAATTGATCGCTCTCGAGCCCCAAGTCCCCTAGTCTCGTATACACGCGCACCAGCTGCTTCTCCACTGCTTCGTCGCCAGGATACCGCGCGTAAATGACTCGCGCAAGCTCCATCATCTCCCACGCAGCTTCCAAGTCGTCGTCGTTTGCCCTATCCTGTTCCCCGCTTGGCTCGTCTTCACTTTCCTGTCGTCCAATAGCAGCAGCTCCACTATGCTCTCCCTCTGCGCTTGAAGTAACATTAGCTGGAGTAGCGCCGGTGAAAATCCCGGCGCTGGTTTCGTGGAGACTCAGCAGCGCGTGACCGTATTCGTAGTACACTGGCGCGACTTCGAGCGAGTCGCCCTTCTTCTCCACTTCGCACAGCGTGCGCAACATATCCTCAAGCACCACAATCGCTTCATCCAGACGCTTTTGCTGGAGCAGCGCCACGCCACGCACGTAGCGCGGGTCGTGCAGCGTCTTCTCGAGCAGTAGCGCGTTCGACGAGCTCCCGGTGGTGGACATGGGTAGAAATGTATTTGTTTTCACATGCAGAGCGAGCGAACGCGCGCGCGAGATGGAAGTAACAGGAACAGAAAAAAGACAGGTTGCGAAAGAAGGGCTACATGTGGGTACACAGAGGCAGCATTGCTGTTGCAGTTTGTGATCTCGACCATTATTAACATAATTACTGCTATTCGTCTTTTTCTTCTTCTTTGTCTATTTCCCCTTCTTCTTCTTCTTCTTTGTCTATTTCCCCTTCTTCTTCTTCTTCTTCTTCTTCTTCTTCTTCTTCTTCTTCTTCTTCTTCTTCTTCTTCTTCTTCTTCTTCTTCTTCTTCTTCTTCTTCTTCTTCTTCTTCTTCTTTCCTCTATTCCAGCTTCATCATGCAGTCTCTTTTCCAGTCATTCTGCAAGTATCAGACGAGTGGTCTATCAGCTTGCCTGCACTGATAGTTATCTAGCAAACTTGTGTTTGTACACCGCGCCTCTGTCCAGGTCGAAGACCCTAACATCAAAGGTAGGGGCACGATCGCCTATTGCACCGCAGTAGTCATCTGAATTACCACGTGCACAGGACAACTGCATGAAGCGGTGAAGGCAAACAGAAGATCGTTGATGGTCAGTGTGTAGTGGAACTTGGTGATGTCGCCCTCGAGTGAGTGACGGTTGTCGAGTATAACTTGCGACTTCCTCATCGGATTTCGACTGACCGTGTCCAACGTTTTCTCGAACGAGGTCATAGTGTCTGCCCGCTCATCACGAGGTGCTTGTCGTCCGAAGAGTGCATACAGCAGGCCACAATGACTTTTGTCATGGCTCGAGCGATGGCCCGAATCTTGATATCGTTGCGTGTCATCGATGTCCAGGTACGCCAAGTGAGCTGCCATCGCAACGTTGTGGACCAGTTTGACGATAGGAGCAAAGGACTAGAGCGGTTTCAAGAATGCTTAAATGGATGCGAGCATTCTTCGGGCACTTCTCTCATTACACCGGCAGCATGTAGCTCGTCGTAATTTCTACGACATCACGGTTTCCCTACGTTGCCAAAGACGTAATGTGCACGAACTTGCTCACCACTTGGTGAGCAAGTTCGTATGTCTATGCGACGACAAAATGAGGCTTTGCCAGCCGAGCGATCTGTTGTAGCTGGTCAAACGAGAACTTCTCGGTGAATGGCAGCGAGGACGAAGCCGGGAGCTGCTCTTCGAGTAAAGTGATGTCCATACCGGCACTAAGAGCTGCCATCACGGCCACTTCTTCGACAGTGATCGCGTCGGACGGAAGCAGTCCCTTTTCCTCCTTCCACGCAGTCATGAGCGCAGTCGATCGCTCAGCTGCTACCAGCTACATAGCATTGTAACAAACAGAGTGAGCGGACGCGTGCACCCATTTTCTAAGCGCATTTCGTAAACTGACTTACCTCGACCGATTGTGTAAAGCACTTTAGCAGTTGGCCCATAGCCATCATGTAGGCGAATCCCAGCTCCTTGGTCTCCTTGTGCTTGTTCAATTGCTTCAGGGTCGCGTCCAAGCGAGGCGATATCTGGGTCTCGCGGACATACGTCCACACCTGGAGGTTGTCGAATTGGTCATACTGGTTAGCTAGCACATGCGCCCACGCCACTTCGTCCGCTGGTGGCAGGTCAAGGTGCTCATTCTCCGGACGTATCATTTTTATGTACTTCTCTTCGACAGCGACCGCAAAGTTGAATGCTGTCTTCAGCAGCAGCGCTATCTCTTCACCACTGATGGTCTCGTACGTCTTTAGATGAAACGGATTACCGCTAGACAGCATCGCTTCAAGCGGCCGGTCACCGATAAAAAACATCGCACGCTCTGCACGAAACTGCATGACGCTTTCTGGTAGTGGAAACACCGCACTGCCCACGTGTTGTGGCAGCTGCAATGACGCAAATCGTCCAAACTGTTCCGATAGCGGCGTAAACGTCTTCTCCACCAACCGCTCTAGTGGTTTCCTTGACTCAACCATATGCGGCAACGAAAAGCCGTAACTTTGCACGGTCCCCTCATTACACATAGATTCCAGCACGTCACACGTGGTCTTGAGCTTTTCCATCAAGTTCGTCTGCTTTTCTGGTAGTCGAGCCAGCTCTTCCGGTATTTGGCACACAACGTGGTCCACCGTCTCTACGTCTAGCTCTTGCCGGGCAATTGCCACCCCTTTCTCCACGTACTCCTTGGTCAGTCGCTTCTCGGGTATCGACTCACGAGTCCATTGCAGCACGTTGCTGCCAATAAGTGTCGACGTGACCACACATTCACGTGGGACATGTGCGTCTTGTATGGTCTCATTTAGTGCCAGGGCTTCGACATACGCCTGCTTATCACTTGCCTTTGGTGTATCCATGTGTGGATTAACAGCTGTTTGAATAAAGTTGCTCGTATATGACGACATGACGGCGCTGATCATATCGATACGAGGCATATCTTTAGCCCACAGATCCGGACTACCGACGCCCCGCGGGCCCACACGGAGCCATTGCACGTCGTCGCCTAGTGCGCTTGCACGCAGTTTGGAGCTGTTATTCGGATCGTGGGGAGACCGGCGAACGAAAGTGTCGGTCGCAAGACTTGTGGCGCGCCCGACGTGCAGACGGGCGCATTGCGCTCTCGAGGCGCTATGACGGACTGCTCGTATCATGTCTTTTCGAAATAAAATCTCGCGGTATCAGTGACATTATTTCTGTTTTTCTCCGTGTGTTTATGGTTTAAACGACACAATCGTGGCGAAAACGACTGACCGACCAATCAATACGCGGCTAAGAGGTAACTCGTTTGGTAGCTCTTCATTGCAATCGTTGGGAACGCGATGATCAGCTACTTCTTGATGCTGAAATCTAGGTCCAGCTCGCTATTGTCGTAGACAAGCGGTCGCCTTCGCACAAAAAAGACGTATCTGTCTTCACTTGTATCAATTGTCGAAATATACTTGCGAAACGAAGTCTGATGCTACTGTGTTACTAGAGGTATGGACTTATTTTTCGTTTTCATTAGTAGCAGTCCACGTAGGGAGGCAAGTGATGATACAAGACATTGGTTAGCTTTGTGTATCGCAAGGTAGATAGACCGATTGTCGCGAGCTTACAATTTCCCGATAACTGAGCTGTGCGAACGAGGAAAGTGACCCAACGTTGTTGTCAACAATAGTCGAATGACCACGAGCTTCGTTTACTAGAGCGGGGCAAGCCCGTCGCATGACATTGACATTGGCAGATATTGACGCGACAATTATCGCAGCGGATGTGTTGAATATTGCAAAAACGGAATCGCCAATGACGTCGCCGTAAAGGGAGACAAGCAGCATGCCTGGACCGAGGCCACGCAGAAACCCGACGCGGTCAAAAAGCATAGTCTTACTTTATCAGAAATAGTCCCAAGAGTCTGAGATGTTGCGGGAACAGAGTACATAACAGTGTTTGAACAACTACTAAGGCAACAGCAAGCCAATGCTGATGGGAGGGACGACGTATATGCGTTGACACGATAACTTGATAGGCGCTCCTGTAGCGGGACAGCCTATTACTAGATGACTGGTGAGACCTTGTGTTGACAGAACACAAGGCTGCGTACTCCAGACGTCACGTACACGTGGCGTGAGGAAGCGCAGCGAAGTAGGCAGAACTCGAAGGATCTGTCTAAGTGAACAAGTAGAACTGTATATAATATAGTTATGTTTCTTAATAACCATCTTTTGTCTTGAGCTAACTATATTAAACTACAATCTCCCATGTAGGTTTCTTGCTCACCATCCATTGCGCGCGTCCAGCAGCGATTGGTGGTTAATATGGTTGATGTAGCGTGTACATCAACCAATAAGTGGAGCACCCAAGAATATTACCCTCGGGGGTAATCTTCCGCCAACATCACCTCATCTCGATCGATGTCAATTGAATATTATCCGAATCGATAATATTCAAAATTGATACATTCGTATCTATCTTATGTAACGAGTTCATCCCGTTACATCACCCCATTAACATCAGTCACTACAGTGAGTGAATAAATTAATTGGTGACAGAGTGAGCGCCGTTTGGTCGCTCTGTGGGAGAGGGAGCACTTGTTGGTTTTGACTTGTCAGTCAAGCTTTTTAGCGCATGACGAGTTCGTCTATGCGCTCCGCGAGCAAGCCGTCTCTGAAGCGGCTGCGCGTATCCTTGCAGCTGGAGAGCAAATAAACCAAGACTTGGCATTTGGCGTCTCATCGCTTGCTGACGCTGATAATCAGCCTGCAACATCAAACGTTGCAGGTGTACATGGTCATCCACGTGCAGTTCTTTATCCGTAGCCTATGCTGCAGGTGGCAATTGCATGGACGTCGACCCCGAAATAGAGATTGTCGATTCGGGCAAGTCGGACCCCCGTCCGAATCGAAGTCGCCCGCAAAGCCCGGCTATCAGGATGTGGATACGGAAACGACGACTGCTAAGTCTCCTGGCAGTTTAAAAAAAGACTGCACCATGAAACTTTCGGCTCTTCCGACGAGTCTGAGTACTCGCCGCGGGAACCTAACCACTCGCGCTCGCATTCGTATGACGCGAGTGAGAAACATGAGAGCGTTAGTTATCCTGGTGATGCCGATAGTTCTTCACGGAGTCATCGTAGCCGTAGCAATTTCAGTGATTGCGGCGATCATAATAAATTATTTATGTCGGCACTGCTCAAGACGATAAGGATCGTAATGTGTTACGATATGCTCGTGAAAACAAACCACGGAGGCCTTCTCAACGAAATATGAAGCAGTTATTTGGTTATAGCACTTGGAGTTATCGAATCCCACTTCTCGATTCGTCAATACTCCATGGTATTGGTGTCACTGCAAGTGGTTATTGCATTGAACATGAGTATTACATCGATGTCTTAATCAGACATCGATGGTACCACGGCAACCTCAACCGGGATGAAATTTCGTTGGTGCAGGCGTGGACCTCTTTTATCGGCAACATCGAAAATGTTGGCCGTGACGCTTAGCTGAAAAACTTATTGCAGCTCGCAATAGGTTTAAAAAGAAGTCGCCAACCGGTGATCTGTTTAATTTGCACCGATTGTCTCGAGAGGCAGGTTTAACTTGCCTCTCATGGGGAGAGAACTGCCAGAGTTGTGTTGACAACTCTGTTCGCGCCCCGAGGAAGACCCTCCTCCCTAATCAGCCCTAGGGGAGGGCTCGCATCTCATCTGAGATGTACGAAGGGATTGAGACTTTACATTCCCTTTACGAACGCGCCGGGAGTTCGTTCGACGATTGCCCTCCATAGTCAAAGGGTACGTCTCGTCGTACTGCTCGACGAGACCGGGGACATCCGCCATCAGTTGAGAGCGGGGCTCCCAGCTGTCACACGAGGGTGGATAACCCCTCCACTGGACGAGGTAAGTCGTCCTTGATCATGAATCGTCACGGTGGTTCAAGATACTCGCCACAAGAAAGCATTTAACACCATGTGATTACACCAAATGATGTGGAGGAGGCTAAAAACCCTCCTCTAAATCGTTCGACTGACCATCTCGACCAATATGAGATGGATCGATCAATTGATCGATTGCGCGAGGATTTAGAGCACGAGAGGGATAGAAGCTACTCTCTGATCGATTTTGTACGGAAGCAACGCGAGGATCGCGAGGCTTATCGCGCGAAAGATCGTGCTGATTACGCCCTCGTCACAGCTTCAGAACGAGCGGAATATCCGTTCCCTCGTTGAAGAGCTGGCGACAGCTTGCAGATATGTCTCTCAGTTGAATTCTGAGGTCTCTTCACTACGCGTCCAGACTAATCGCCTGGAGCGCGAGCACAAGAATCTGATGGACGTGGGGCTATCTTCATCGTCTAAAGACGGCTCGTACTGACAGTACGGGCGGAGACGCCTCAAGTAAAATTTAGGATGCGTACACATCCTACGTGGCAGCTCAATCGTGTATGCGTTGACTTGTCGGCGCAGCACACGAAAGGGACCGATGTATTTGGACAGTAGTTTGCTGCTGCTCACGTTAGTCACTACGTGTCTAGGTAGGTTTATTGTCGAAAGTAGGACTAAATCAACTTCAACAAATGAAAGAACATTTGATCTTCCATTATTGTCAGCGATCTATTTCTGCCGGTCCACCTCGTGAACGATGGAGTCATGCACGAAACGGACCACTGCTTCTCAGGCCATCAGAAATCCTTTTGCTGACGAGACATTGTTTTGTCCAGTTCTCCTTGTGCGAAATGCAGAAAGAGTTATCTTTTCTTTATGTTCATCAGAGAGGGTATCATCATCCTCTCTGGAATAGTCGTTGGCGATGCGAAAATATCAGCATAGCCATTACCATCTGACCCATTAATAGCGTCATCACTATTATTGAGATGGTCTTCTTCTTCGATGTCGACCTGATCGACATCGGCATCATACGTGAAGAAGTTAGCGTCGATACGTGATAAGCAAGATCCAGAACGGTTTTTGCTCGAGCATTTCCCTCCCCCCTTATCCAAGAGTCACACTCTAATAGGGAGGGAAGACGTGGATGGCGTAAGACATTCACGAAGAACGTTGTATGCTGTGTTGAAGCATGCAACGAATAATAGATGGCGAATATATACCATAAATAGGAATTCGCTCCAAATCGAGCACGAGTGGACGTGTCATGAAGGATCTCTTCGAGAACACGGTTTGCACGTTTCGTCTGACCATCAGTCTCGGGATGTTCAGATGTTGACACATTCAAGCGTGTTTCGAGCGATTGGATCACGAATTGCCAAGATCCCGCCGTGAACCGAGGATATCGGTCGGATACGAGACGGGGTATCCCGTGGAGTCGAAATATCGTGCCGATAAAGACACGAGCACAGTCCTGTGCCGTGATCGACTCGGGTACTGAAGCAAGATGCACCATCTTGCTAAACCGGTCTACGAACACAAGAATACCGTTATTCTTGTGAGCGTCTTTGGGAAAACCTAAGACGAAGTCCATTAAAACGGACTGCCAGCACTCTGCGGGACAGGTAGAGGCTGTAAGGGTGCACGGGATGAAGGACTGGGCTTCACTCGTTGAAAAACATCGCCAGCACGAATGTACTTGCGGACAAAGTGATACTGGCGGGGCCAGTAAAAGTTACGACTTACCGTAAGCTACGTATTTTCTCTACCAAGATGGCCACCTGTTGGGACATCGTAACACTCATACATGATGCGCAAGCGCAAGTTGTTATGAGCGGGGACGACGACACGACGATTGTCGCCGGCAACGACTGTATTGTACAGCAAACCGTTGCGTGTTGTGTACCTATCCTATGAGGAACGTTACAAAGACGATAGATCTTTCAACGATTTACGAGTTGGATTCACCAGATGACTCATCAAGCGCAGAAGATCCTTATTTTCTGCGTAGGTCTTTCTTACGTCGTCAAGTAACACTGACGGCGGGATAATGAATGTGAGTGTCGCAACAGTGGGGTTATCCTCACTGTTAAGTTGCGCGCCCGGCTCAAAATAGGGTTGGCGCAAAAGCGCATCAGCGACGACGTTCAGTCGTCCTGGTTTATACTTGGCGGAGAAGTTGAACTCCGCGACAAAAGACAGCCACCTCGCCATTATTTGCGAGAGGTGTGGAATGTTTACGTACTTGCGTAGAGACGCATGGTCCGTATAGATGATGAACGATCTATCTCCC